CAAGAGGCCCCGGTGCTGGGACAGTGTAATCAGAGGCAAATGGCAGTAACCCACCTGGAATGGATGCATCAGACCGGCAGATGCTCAGTGGGTACCAGGTGAGGGACCAGATGAGAGCAGCAACCTGCAAGAGAGACCCCATCAACCGCCAGGAGGCACATACATCGGGGATAGCAAGGAGCAGGAGAAGCGGCCACTGATCCCGGCCAAGACTGAAACGGTCACTTGACATAATTTAAATGGCCCCACCCCTGAGCCTGCCCTACCCCGAGAGCCAAAGTTACCGGCAAATGAAGCCCGGGTCCGTTTGAGAAAATGCATGTTTTCTTTGCACATCTGAGCATTGACTGCATTTGCAACCCTGTTACTACACACAAAGACAGTATCAACTTTTGGGGCTGGGAGTGAAGATCACATTGTTGAAACATGCTGAGCTTACTGTCGACTCAAACCCCTATCTTTTTTAGGGGCACCTGGCGGGCTCAGTCAGAGGAGCATGTGACTCTTGACCTCAGGGTTGTGAGTTTGAGCCCCGTGTTGAGTGTAGAGATTACTTCAATTAAAAACAAAAACAAAAACCTGTCTTTTAAAAATGATATTTGCCATCACTTATGGGGTTCTCATTTGCTTCTCCCGCCCAAGCTGCTGATTCTGCATCAGTGACTGGTTCTCAAACTTGACAGCGCAGCAGAACCACTCAGAGGGCTTGTTAAAACAGAGATAGCCACTCCTCCCCACCCCACCCCCCTTCTGATGCTGTAGGTCTCAAGTGGGACCAGAGGATTCGCATTTCTAAAAGTTCCTAGATGATGCCAATGCTCCTGTCTGCAGGCCACACACTTTTAAAACTATTGCTAAAAGCCTACGTTAATGGAGAAACATTATTCTGATTTCACTCTCAAAGACATGAAAAATTAGCCTTGACTGATACAGCACAAATCAACCTCCCCCAGACTTGGCAGGGCTTGTTGACTACATGTGTTGTTTATCAACAAGGGAACGCCAATTTTTTTCGTATGCAGAATGGGAAAACTTTAATACTGATAATATCCAGTGTTGCAGAGGATATGAGGAAGAGGTATTCCAATCTCCTGTGGGTGAGCTTATGAATGGCTACCCTCTTTTTGGATCCAATTTAATAGTAACTACCAATACTATTTTTTTTTCTTTGGTGCTGCAACCTGGCAACTACCAATACTTTTTAAGTACACATCCTTTAATCCAGAAATTGCCTGCTAGAAATCCCACAGGAAAACATATATGATGTTCACAGCAACACCTGTAAGTTGGAAATAATCAAATGTCCCTGAATGAGAAATATTAAAATCGGTACCAAGAGTCATAAAAGTAAAAGGTATTACCTGAATGATTCTTCTTCTATGCATGTCTCTATAATTTAACCACTGAATAATTTTCTACAGTATGTTCTGTAGCAGAAAGGAAAATACTCTGTAGCAGAGTATCGCTTGTGGATATTCTCGTGTGGAAGTCAGCTGCTGAAATTCAAATGCAAGATGAAAATCCATTAACATTCGAGCGAGTGACTTCTGTACTTTATCACATTGATTCCTTCAGTGATTTTCTTCCACTCCTCAGGGACTTCATAAAGCCCTACCAAACTCCTGGCTTGCACATCTGGTTTACAGGAAAGCAAGAGGGGCTTGGAGTTCCTCTAGTGAATTTTACATGCCTTTCATGTTCCCACAGACGCTTTTAAAAACTTTTTGAAATGTTCAGGGACTCACAGTAGGTTGTGAGTGAACTATGAAGAGGCCCCGTGCACCCATCACCCAGCTTCGTCAATGGTGTAGAACGGCAGTGCCTCATATCAGTTCAGGGAATCCCACGTACTTTTAATGGCAACCCTTAGTCAAAGCCTTGGGAGCCTCAATGAAAAGTTATTAGAACTGAACATCTGGAAAAATGTGACAATGGGCAAGAGGACGCATACCTCCGTCAAAGGAATGCCACGGGTTGGAGGGGGTGGGCAGAATCCCTGTCCTGGAGATGGAAAGCTCCACCACAAACTTTATGTATGTTAGAAACTACATCTATCTCTGTCTTACGTGTCTCTATTTATATGTGGATATAGGATATGTTCTAGAGATAGATACATTCCTACCTAAGAATATGGTATGTATATGATCTTGCATGAGATCTTTCATCTTGGGCCTCAGATTTATAGTTTGTAAAATGAGGGTGAGGAATGAAGCCACTAAGGTCTTCTCCAATGCCACAGTTCTGAGTTACGAGAGGTATTTTATTATCAGAAGATTATTTTCTGATATTTAAAATCTCAGTGTCAAGGTAGAAGCATGTCCCAGCACAATCTTTGAAAAACATGTCTTTTTCGGAAAAGCTATCAGAATTTAAAATGTGCATACTCTGCCCCAGCCATTCCACATCCATAAATTTAGCTTCAAGAGTCACCCAAGTAGGCGATGATACATTTCAAGGATCTTGCAACAATATTTTTGTAATTGTGAGAAATAAGATACTAATCATGATACATTTATGCCACATAATGCTAATAATACCAATACTACTACTAATTCACCACCGCTGAAAACAAAGCATGGATATTGAAAGACATTTATAATGTATCACTGAATGGAAATAAGTTGCAATACCCAATACATACCTCATGTTTATATGTCGATCTATATGTAACTCTTTAAGTATGTATGTAGTGCTTAAATATACAGATACATAAACATACATGTGTATGGAGAGAGATGAAAGGATTGAGGATTTACACAACAGTGGTGATGATTAACTTCAGGAATTATAGGATGGGGGTGGGATGGGGTGAGGACTACCACTGTTTTTCGTATTTTTTAAATTAAAAGAATAAATGTTCATTGTAACAAAGAAAAAAAAAGTTCGAAATGAAAGAAGCTATAAATTCTTTAACAATATATGTAGATATCCAAGTAATCAATCACTGGTCAGTCCCATACCATTTATTTTAAAATTTATCTTCTCGGGGTGCCCGGCTGGCTTAGTGGGTAGAGCGTGTGACTCTTGATCTTGGGGTTTTGAGTTTGAGCCCCACATTGGGTGTAGAGATTACTTAAAAATAAAATCTTTTAAAAAATAAGAAAAAAATTTCATCTTCTCATTGAATTGAGACGCTGCCTTTACAGTATGACTACCATTGGGTCTATTCCTGGAATTTCTCCTCTGTCCTGCCTAATCATGTGCCAATACCAAACTTTTAATTATGGAGGATTTAATAAGAGTGTGTTTTAATGTCTGCTAGGGCTAGTCCCTCTCTTTTTTTTTCAGTTTCCATAGCTTTTCTGGGATGTTCTCTCAAACAGAAGCAAACATGATCATTTTTATTGGGAGAAAAACATGTTTTCATGTTGAGTCTTCTTAAGAATAGGATACATCTTTTTAAATTGTTGAAGTCTAATTTTTGATCAAAAGTGTATTTTTTAGTTTTCCTCATAGGGGCACCTGGCTGGCTCAGTTGGGAGAATGTGTGACTGCTGACCTCGGGTTCGTGAGTTTGAGCCCCACGTTGGGCATAGAGATTGAAAATAAACTTTAAAAAAGGTTTACACGTAAGTTTCTTTTTGTAATCACAAAAGGGGTCTTCTCTTCAACGGCACCTTCTAACTAGGTTTGTATATTTATAAAGCCTTTTATCCTTTTTAGTGAACATTTTTATTGAACTGTGATTATACATACAGAAAAGTGCACAAACCGGCAAGTATACAGCTTGGTAAGTAGTCATAGAATGAAGGCACCGATGTAACCAGCACCACGGAAGCTGCCTTGCACTCTTCCCGGGCTTGTTGAGCTAAAGAAGCCAGATGAAAAATACCGTACATGATTCCACTTATATAAAGTTTAAAAAAAGACAAAACGATGGTGATTTAGTCATGATAGTGCTTACCTCTGTGGAGGGGGTAGTGACTGAAAGGGGATGCTGATTTTTGACACCTATAAAGTTTGCCTGTTCTGAACTTCATTTAAATGGAATCAGAGTTATATACACTCCTTTATGCCTGCTGAGTGCTGAAACTTATATCCAAGTATGATATTTGAATGTAGATTTGTAATTGCTACTTTAGTAAGTTCTCTTATAGTTTTTCAACAAATTTCTTCGGGTTTTCCAGATGTAAATGCGTATCTGCAAATAACCTCCTCCTGTCCATGAAATTCACATGGCTTTGTTTTGTCAAACTGCATTGGCTAAAACCAACAACACAATGTAAGTGGTAGAGAGATAGGGGCATGTCTTGTTTCACTTTGTGGAAGCCTCTTTTGTTTTCACATTAAGATGCTGGCGTTTGGGCAGAGGTACAATGTGAATGAATTACTCATCAGTTTCTGTTTTCCGAGTACATTCAGCATGAACTGAATGCTCAATTCCATCAAATCTCTTTTCTGAAAAATGGAATGAGTTTCTCCTTAACTCTTTTAATATGATGGATTGTCAACGATAGAATTATCCTTGCATTCCTATAATAAACCCAACTTTGTCATGATTTATTACCTTTTTAAAGTGCTGTTGGGAGTGTTTGCTAATACACTGCTAAGGTTTTTGCATTGATATTTGTGAGTGGTCTATAATTTTCTCTTTGCTACAATCTTTTTTTCAGTTTTGGAAATGCTAATGTATTCACTTTATAAAATCAATTCAGAAGTCTTAAAAAATTTTTTTTTTGGCACTTTGAGGTTCAGGATTCTTTTTCTAGCTTCTGGAATTGTATCAACACTGGGATTATTTAATCTTAAAGGTTTAGCAGAAATCCCCTGAAATCATCAAGGCCTGACACTTTTTTGGTAAGAAGTCCTTTATTAGTTTCTTCTATGGTAATTGGTTTGTTCTAAATTTCTGTGTCTATGAGGGTAAATCCTGGAAATCTGCATATTTCTAATTATATAAAATTAGTCTTATAATTTTGAAAAATTTCCTGTTTTGTGGTTATTTCTCCAGTTGTCATTTCAATGTGTATTTCTGCGTCCTCCCTTTTTTCCTGGAAGGGGTTCGCTGGTGGTTTGCGTATTTAAGTTCCCTCCCGCTCTCCCTTTTTACGAATTCCTTCCTTCAGTTTTCTTCTGGTTTGCTTTTTTCCTCCAGTTTTTAAGGCTTGGTTGTATAATTTTCAGCTTCTCCCATTTTTAATGATACAGTTCTAAATACTATAAATTTCCTGTCATAACTGTTTTTTTTAAAAAAATATTGAGGCCTTCATCAGTCTTGTGGTCGTATCTTTCTGGTGTGCTCTCACCATCTTTGGGGATGCTGGCTTGCTGCTTCTCTTAATTCTTCTAACTTCTCAATGAGGTTTGATTGTAATCCTTCTCACAGTTTTGTTTTGTTTTTTTCTTTGGAAGAGCGTTTTCCTGTACTTTTTTAGGAGGGGCGTGTTCTTCGATGACTTTTTTTAGCTCCACTGCCCTAAAGCTCCATTTTCATTTTGACAGTGGTTGACAGGACATCACTACTGACCTTCCTTCCCAGCCTTTACCTGGACTTTCTCTTCTCTTTGCCCTACCATACCTGTCCTGTCAAGCTGGAATCCTAATTCTAGCAGTTTCTCCTCAGTGCTAGGCTCTGGACACATACAGCACTGGGCCCAGACTACGTTAGCACACTCGGCAGACCTTGGTGCATTGCTGTGACGCTCACCTGCAAATGGAACCTGTCGAAGTCTGCACAGTTGCAGCTTCTGTTGACTGGCCCCCTGCCAGGCGGCTGAGAAACGGGGGGCTGTCAGAAACACAGCTGCCTGCTCTCCCCGTTCCCACAGATGCTGAAACTACGTCGGCCAGTTGTCTTCCTTCCTTCCTCACTTGCACTTTGAAGTTCATGAGGACAACGGTCATCTAGTTTTGTAGAACAGGGTCTGGGGCTACCCTGGTTACTCTGTATTCTTACTGGAAGGTTCAGAAAGTACACTATTGCCGTCATCGTCCCCGAGCTTAACCCCTGTGGGATCTCTATTAGAGAAGAGAGATTTTAATAACAATCATTTTATGATGGTTAGGACAGAAATTATAATTAGGAATTTACTGTATTTCAGGTACTATGTCAAGTGCTTTATATGCATTATCTCATTTCATCCTTGAATAACCTCAGGAGTTAGCCCTCCCTCCCTGATTTTATGGATGGGGAAGTTAGGGTCCAAGATTACAGTGCTGAACTTGCAGACCTGGGATTTAAACTCAAGTCCTCAGACTCCAGAGCACCTCCTTACTTAACAGACTCTCAAATACTAGCAGGTCCGACCGTTTCCAAACCTCTATGTGAACTGAAATGAAATATTAACTATTTAAAGATCTGATAAAAATGTATACATATTACAGGTCAAATCTAAAAATACTGTAGATGATGAATACACTGAACTGTGTTGTATGACCTGATTAATCTTGTTTTCAGGCAGATGCTCAAAAAAAAGCTTCTCGTACTAACTTCTGAAAAATACCATAATGAGGGTGGGGGCAGAACACAGAGTTATTTGAGATTTTGGACTTCCTACTTCCCTGCTCATTATAGTATCACTGCCAAAGAATAAGTATGTGAAATATTACTTATAATTTAGTTTTTAATAAATACTGCTCTTGTAAATAACTGTTTAGAAACAAGAGTCGTCTCTCTGCAGGTCCCTGGCCTGTGTTTTGGTCAGCACGTCACGATGGAAGGTGAACACTCACTGGGCCACAAAATTTCATAAAAAGGGCCCTCACACGTGTACTGTTTAGAATCATATTGTAATTTATAATTTTATGCTATTAAATTATACAAGTGAGTTAGGAAATATTTCTTAATAGTTTTATGAAATACTTTTAAACTTGGAGTTCTCTTCCACTTACGGATACGGTTACTATTATTACTAACTTTCTTACCTTCTAACTGCTAGTGGCAATTCAGGAAAAACAATCTGGGTTTTTTATAATCGCTCTAAAGCCATTCCATATATGCTATTTTAACTCCCGATGTCTAGGAAATGACTTAGTTTGAGATAGGGATGTCTTAATTTGCCAGGATTTAAATAGAAGCAACTAAAATAACTCATTGAAAGATAACATCTGCTTTTAAGCTTATATTTTCCCCCACAATCAGAAAACGGATTTTATTTCTAATTAAAAAAATAATAAAGTTGACTTGGGCAAGAGGAGTTTTAAAACTAAGGATGCCAACAACAAATGAATCATTTCTCTAAGCACATACCAGATTTCCCTTTGGAAGGACCACCATTTAAGGGCATTTTCTCCTCAAATTTAGGAAATTAAAATTTAAATATTATAATTCCTAAACAGTAATACTAGTAATTTTTTATACTGATAGTTGTGTAGAATAATTCAACATTTATTATCACCAAGACTTTAACTTTAACCTATCTCCTTCAGTGCAGAGATTTTCTTCTCCATTTCAGTACTTGTCTCACATCTTTGAACGTCATTCCAACAACAGTGATGGATGTGATTTATTGATAAATTGGTTACTAATGAAGATGAGTTTTTACACGATTTCCTTTACAATTAGCTAGTTCACAGAATGAACAAAACAAGAAGAACAAAAGCGACACCCCAGTCTTTAACCCCTAAACAGAACATTTCCCTTCCACTTACCTGAAAATATAAAACTATAAATGACCATGTATGGGGCTGCACCATTAAATTTACTTTAGTGGTTCTGGTTTTTTACTGAGAGTTTTACTTATTTACTTTGAAAAAATTAGAAAATTGTCATTTTGAAATCAGAACCACTAACACACTCTGGAGGCAACAAACTAAAAAAAAACCAATAGCTAAAAATAACTCCCTTATAAAAGTACAATTTATAGTATCACATATTTCAGAAAAATAAACCAAACCACTCAATGTCTTTCCTTCTAGATGACTATTTTCTCCCCAGAAAGAAGAAAAAGCAACTAATGAAATTAAAATCAAACACAACTGTTATTCACCCTCAAAACATCTAAATAAGTGACCCACACAGCACAAAACTTTCTCATTCACAATCACATACAGTTATTTTTTCCTCAATTACATAATAGTCTTCTTAAATCAATGTCCCTTTAGAAAATTACTGTATTAGTTAAGCCTATTCATCCTTGCTATGAAGTTAATTTCATTTATGTAGGCCTCATAAGTTTAACTGGCACACTTAATAAGACAAAGTAAGTCATTCTTCTGTTTAAAAATTATGGAATCATCTGTTTTCAAAGAAGAATCCTAAATACTTAATTCATTAAAGCAATTTCCTACCATCAGCTATCAAGCTTTTTAAATGATCACTAAGTGTTCACCCAAGGATTATCGATGCTATGTGAACTGTAAACTTGTTTTGAAGATTTGTGTCCATTTTACAGTATGATACAATTCGTAGAGTTTTTTAAAAATATAACCTACATACATATAGTTAATTTGCCCCAAAGAACTTCTTAGAAATACAGTAGAAACATTTAAGAACCACAACAGAGTCCACTGTGGTTCAGACGTCAACAAAGATTTTCTTGAAACCCAGTACAAAGGTTACGGGCTCAAGACCATATTCCAAAGTGACATCGGCGCGAGATTTGATTGCGAGACTACCTCTTAAAAAAAGAGCACATTGGTTATACATGGCTTTTAACCTCGAGCTACAGTTATGCTACAAATCCCCCCACCCTCCCGACCTAAGTGAAGTCAGTCATGTGGAGATGTGCACATTCTCTGGGCACTGTTTAGAGTCCTTGGTTTTCCAGCTCTGATGGAGATCTCGAAGGCGTTCAGAAGTCCGTGTGCTTACATTCAGGGCAGGATGAACTTTACAAATTCCACTTTCCTCCATTAGTGACAGGCCACAGATCCCAAAGTATGCATGCAAAGCATCTGAAAACGAGGTATTTTTTTTTTTTTTATCATAACAGGCATTCTTATTTGTACATGCTGCAAAGTACTATAGCTACATATCTATTAGTCCAGCACATTAAAATTAAATTTAGAAAAATGTTAAATACAGGTTTTGAAACATGTGCTTTCTCAAAAAGTCTTTGTCAAAACACCAATTAAAAAAAAACAGATGATCAAAATCAGGTATTTTATCGAAGAAAATATCATTAACAAAGGAAAACAGTTCTCAAATGAAAAGGTGACATTCCCAACATCCTCTATGATTAAAAAAACAAAGTAGAGTAGCAGTAATACAAGACCTCTCACTTAGGGGGTTTCCCCTTTGCTTCCCACAGAATACAGAAATAAGGGGCTTTAGCTCTGTATCATAAAAGGAAAAATTTTCCTGAAAAATGAAAATAAACCTCTGACTCTAAGTAGCAATACCCCTCCCCACCAAGTTTTACCTCTGACATTTCCGTAACCAATTCTACCACAGTACTGTGTTCAGTGAAAGATGCCTAAACAGAATAATCCGCTGTGGAATGCTGTACCAAATTTAGTTTTCCTATTTAGGGGAATCTCAATCATCCAAAAAATGTCTGACCTGACAGTAAAAACAAACTCACATTCTCTGTGGCTATAAATACCATAACCTTTCTTCTATACTGGCCTCCCTACTATTTCCCGTCTTTTGGGGGCAGCGACCCTCTTCCATTCAAGTGGCCACAGGAATCACATGGCTGTTGCCTGCTGGACAGCCTTATACGGACTCTGAAGAGCTCAGAGATCTGCAGTTATGGGCATACTACAAAAAAACATATTTTGTAGCCATCAGGCATTTTTCCTATTTTTGTACTGGCCATCATTTATGGCCTCAAGAGCTACTGAAGTTCAGAACACCTTTACCGACTCAAACTTTGTCAGAAGTATTAGAAAGTTTTACTTACATGAGTATCAACTACTTTTCAAAACAGAGGGACAGATAATTGTGCTTACTCAAGATTATTTCTGAAAATGTTATCTCACTAGTGGAGGCCCATGTCAATCTCCTTTCATGTCTTCTCAAGAGAATGCTTAGGTTTCTTCTGGCTCACTTTTCTCTCATTTTCAGACCACAAAAAATAAATTTAATTTCCCCTGTACTATGAAATTTTCCTTGTAGTTATTCTAAAATTACAGAAGGCACAAACCAACATTATATTTTATTGACTAGAAATTAGGAAACTTTTCTAGGAAAAAATGCAACTGAAAGAGAAATAAAATCCATCCAGGATAACAAAATAGGATCTTCTACTTTCCACGTAATGGAAAAATAAAACATCTTTTTCTCAGAAAGCTTTCTGTAAAAGTCAATGAACCAGAACTTAATTGTTTCAAACCTCAAAGCTTTTTTAAAAAACTTACCTGTAGGTATATTCAAGCATATCAAATGCTGAAATATATAGTTTCTTCATAATAAAAGTTCATTAGTTTCTTAAGTTTCTTCTGTAAATGTATATAAAAATGCTTTGTGTCAAATCTGCTACTAAATTAACTAGAACCAAGAATATGCTAATTTTAAAGACTCTTTTTTTTTTTTTTTAAAGATTTATTTATTTGAGAGAGTGAGAATGAGAGAGAGAGTACATGAGAGGGGGGGAGGGTTAGAGGGAGAAGCAGGCTCCTCGCTGAGCAGGGAGCCCGATGCGGGACTCGATCCAGGGACTCCAGGATCATGACCTGAGCCGAAGGCAGTCGCTTAACCAACTGAGCCACCCAGGTGCCCCTAATTTTAAAGACTCTTAAAAAATGATTTTCCCAAAGGCCCTATTAAACAGGTCTTTCCACATAAATTCAATTTATGATACACAGATCTTCTATGCTCTGCAGTTTACAGGTTCTGAAGACATTTTACCATATCTGTAAAAAGTATTATATCCAAGTATTTACCCAAATATTAAAGTTAGCAACTAAGTGCTAGAAAATACCTTCAAGAATTAAAAAAAAAAAAATCTATTCTGGGGCGCCTGGGTGGCTCAGTTGGTTAAGCATCCGACTCTCGATTTTGGCTCAGGTCATAGTCTCAGGGGTTGTGAGATCAAGCCCCTGGCGAGCTCCACACTCAGCGGGGAGTCTGCTTGAAGATTCTCTCCCTCTGCCCTCCCTCCATTCACGCTTGCTAACTAAGGCAAATAAATAGATCTTTAAAAAAAAAAATCTACTGTAAATACTCAAAATGTATTTCAAGTATGTTTATGCCAGACATGCTTTCCAAGATATTGTCATTTCCCTATTCCCATTTGTTAAAATGTACATTTGTTAAAATAGTACAAGCTCTGATGAAAAATAATGTCATCAAGACAATTCTCAGTTTTCTTGAGGTACTGCTCTAACATTTATAGCTATGGTTACACATACCAAAATTTAAAAATATTATTTTGCTTTAGAAATTAGAACATAAAAAAAAAAACCAGAAAGAACTCCAACAACTCAACAGAAAAAACAACAAGTAACCCAACTGAAAAAGGGGCAAAGGATCTGAATAGCTCTTTCTCCAAAGAAGATATACAAAAGGCCAACCAGTGCATGAAAAGATGCTTGACATCAATAACCATGAGGGAAATGCAAATTAAAGCCATAGTGAGATACTATGTCACTCTTGCTAGAATGGCCATAATCAAAAGAATAAGCGATAACAAATGCCGGCGTGTAGGTGGAAAAGGGAACCCTTGTACATGGCTGGTAGGAATGTAAACTGGCACAGCCCTTATGGAAAAAAGTATGGAGAAGCCTCAAAAAATTAAAAATGGAACTACCATATGATCCAGTAATATCCCCAAAGGAAACGAAAACACTACCTTGGTATCTATACCTCCATGTTCACAGAATTATGTACAATAGCCAAGATACAGACACAACCTAAATGCCCACCGATGGATGAATGGATAAAGAATCTGTGGTATCTGCATACACAATGGAACATGATTCAGCCATAAAGATGAGGAAATCCTACTATTTGCAACAACATGGATGGACCTTGAAGGTGTAATGCTAAGTGAAATAAGTCAGGCAAAGACAAATACTGTGTGATCTCACTTAGATGTGGAATCTAAAAAACAAAAACAAAAAACCAAACTCATAGAAAAAAAGAGATTGGACTTGTGCTTAGGAGGGGCAGGGGTGGGCAGGGGAGGGGGAATTGGAAGAAGGGGGTCAAAAGGAACCAACTGCCACTACTAAGTAAGTACTGGGGATGTAACACACAACACAAGGACTTCAGCTCACCCTGCTGTACGACATACAGGAAACGTGTTCAGACAGTGAACCCTAAGACTGCTCATCACAAACATAAATTGTTCGCCCTTTACCATCTTCTTGTCTTCTGTATCTATGAGAAGGCGGGAGCTAGCTGAGCCCACTCTGGCAGTCATTTCATTATAGATGTGCACCAAACCATCATGCTGTATGCCTTCAACTTACACAGTGATGTAGGGTCAATGATTTCTCAATAAAACTAGAAAAAATATTCTTTGGCTTTAGAAATTAAAAGCATTAAAGAGGAGAAAATACATTTACAGTACAACACAATATTTATCGAAAAAATCCATTTACAAGTGGACAGGCACAGTTCAAACCTGTGTGGTTCAAGGATCGACTGTACTTACTAAATCCAAGAATCTTTTGTTCTTTACCTCCCTGCCACTCCTGAGCTTGGAAAACAGTGAATATCACATTGTCTGAATCTATTTGGCTCCTGAGTTTTAGACAGTGAATGTTAAGAGTTCAGATAGCAAAGTACCCATCTAAAAAAATTAACCTGAATCTGATGAAATTCAGAGAACAAGGGTATGGACAGTGAGGGACAGCTACCTTCAGAATTAGAGATATTTGATGTAATGGCTTCTGAACAGAGTAAGAACAGGTCCCTTCTGGACTTGGTAATTCATTCTACTTGGCTCTAGCGACAGCTAATAATTCTAAAGATTCTGGATGGACCAAATGATTCTCTATTTTGGACAGGGCCCATTGAGACCATCTGCCTCACTGCCTCAAATGAAATAAAACACTGGTAAGTGAAATATATGGAAAACAAGGCATACTATAGCAATACATCTTGATAATCCAACCCTTCCTTTATACCCCTCAACATGCTAAATTTCCCCTAAACTTAAACAATTTACCTTTTTAAAAAACATATTAAGTTTACAACTGTAGCTGAATTTTCTCTTATGCCCTTTCTGACAAAGATGCCTGAGGGTCTACTCAAGAAATAGAGTTGTTCTAGATTCATACAAAAAATGAATTACCTGGATGACTATCTGGCCACTTGGCAAATCCCCCTACTAGGCGATCTTGAGTTGATAAGATGTAATTTCTATTTTTCTCAAAGTTGGTGTATTGAAAAATTTTCAGAAGCTGAAATGACAGGACAAATATAAATTTACTGACATCAAACTTTCATTTTGACCTTTGGCTCAATTTTCAGATATACATCAATTAAATATGCTTTTCTGTAGCTAAGGCTCTCAAAGCAAGCCTCTGGAGACCTGAGCACTTAGAATCAGTCAACCACATTATTATCATTTTTGTCATCTGATCACAACTACTCTCCTTTCCTTGACCTACTCACTACTTCCCTCTTCTGAACCACGCCCAACTAATCTCTTTGCATCACATTTAGCTAGGTTCAAAACACAACTCTGCCAATCTGTTCAACTTAGTCATTTTTAAAAAGGACAATTTTATCTTTTATTTTATCAATTTTATCTATCTATATTCTAATTCTTATTATAGGCTTTTGAACTATTACTTACAAACCGTTAGTAACTTGAACCAAAAATATTTCAAAAAAAAAAACCAACAAAAATTATTAACCAGATGACAGTTTTGAGACTAGTAAAAAAATTGTAGCTTTTTAGTCAGGAAAGGTAAAAGGTGAGACAAGTATACTTTTAGCATAAAAAACTATGTAGCTTTAAGATTTAGGACATATGTTTATTCTCTCTCTCAAGATCCCATTAAATAGAAAAAATAAAGAATAACTCAAACTATGAAAGGGTGTTGGGGAGGGTGGAGCAGTAGACAAGAGAGTTCAAGAAATTTCTGATAAGACACAAAGCAGTTGAAAGTATGTTAATGAATCAAAGAGCCATAGAAGATATGAGTGATTAAAGAACCATTATTTCTCAAAAAGAGAAACAAAGCCTAAAAGAATTATGATACAAATAAGAAACACATTCATTCATTTTAATTTAGTCAATACAATAAAAAGGAAAGAGACTCATTAGAATCCATCAGCTAGAAACATTTTCCATCAAGTGTCTGATGGGTCATTACATAAGGAGAAACTATAATCTTAAGATGTACTTGGTTCAGCAATAAACAATATTTACATGATCACAGTAAGTGCTGATTCTCGGTTTTTAAATTTTAGAATCAACCTACAGGCAAAGCATAAAATATGTGAATACTGTTACTAAATAAAATATGAATGTTAACTCGACATTATAAAAGTAAAGGTAATATGACAGAATTAGAAGGTGCAAAGAGGAAAAGTTTCAGGACTAAAAAATATATAACCAGTAATAATCTGCTTGAAAAAAGGGAGGCTAAATCTTCATTCTTCATAGTTGGGAATCAAAGATAATGTCTAAAGAGAAATTAAGATATCATTTAAAGTTGGGGTGCCTGGTGGGCTTAGTCAGTAGAGCATGTGACTCTTGATCTCAGTATCATGAGTTCATGCCTGACAGTGGGTGGAAAACTTACTTAAAAAAATAAAACAGGAAAATATTTCTAAAAATAAAAAAAATCAGTTACTTGTGATATTCATAAGAATTAAGAATCTTTAAAATGTTTAAAAATGGCGGGTGCCTGGGTGGCTCAGTCGTTAAGCGTCTGCCTTCGGCTCAGGTCATGATCCCAGGGTCCTGGGATCGAGCCCCACATCGGGCTCCCTGCTCCGCGGGAAGCCTGCTTCTCCCTCTCCCACTCCCCTGCTTGTGTTCCCTCTCTTGCTGGCTCTCTCTGTCAAATAAATAAAATCTTTAAAAAAAAAAAAAATGTTTAAAAATGGTTGCTTTCAGAAAATTGTCAAAGACTACCAAGGTCATATCGAAAAGACTCAAGAGCCTACTTGAAGGATCTCTGGCTAAAAATGGGATGTTTTGAGCATCAAAAAGAACAATATAATGGATTAAAACATACGTTAACCTCAATGGCTGCTAAAACGATTCTGTAAAAAAAAAAAACCAATGAGGTTTTTATACAACAGCAACACACAATCCAAAAAGAAATTAGAAAGCAATTCCACTTAAAACAGCGTATAAAATAATTAAATATTTAGGAATAAATCTGATCAAGGACGTGAGAGACATGTATGCTGAAAACTACAAAATACTGCTGAAAGAAATTAAAGATCTAAATAAATGAAAAGACATCCCATGCTCACTGTAGGAGAACTTAAGCTATTAAAAGTCAATACTACCCAAAGTGATCTTCAGATTCAATGCAATAGATTTTTTTGTAAAAATTGGAAAAACCAATTTTCAAATTCCTATGAAACTGCAAGGGGTCCAAACAGCCCCAACAATGATGAAAAAGAACAAAGTTGGACTCACACTTCCTGGCTCGGAAACTTACTACAAAAGCTGTAGGGATTAAAACAGTACGGTACTGGCATAGGGAGAGACACATGGACTAATGGGGCAGAATAGAGAGCCCATAAAACAAACAAACCCACATGTATGTGTTCAGTTGATTTTCCACAAAGGGCCAAGGCCATTTAATGGAGCAAAGAACAGCTTTTCAACAAATGAACCTGGGAAAGCAGGATATCCACATGCAAAATAATGAAGTTGAACCCTTAGTTTATGCCATATATAAAAATTAACTCAAAATGAATCAAAGACCTAAATTCAAGGGCTAAAACTACAAAAATTGTTGGAAGAAAATACCGGGGAAAATCCTTATGACATTGGCTTTGGCAATGATTTCATGAAAAACAGGTAAACTGGACTTGATCACAATTAAAAACTTTTGTACATCAAAGGACATTACCAACAGAGTGAAAGGCAACCATAGAATGGGAAAAAATTATCTGCATACCATATATCTTGATAAGGGATTAATATCCCAAACACTTGAGAACAAAAAACATGATTAAAAAATGGGTGAAGGACCTGAATTGACACTTCTCCAAAGAAGATACAGAAATGGCCAATGAGCACATCAGAAGATGCTCAATATCACTAATCATTAGGAAAATGCAAATCAAAACCACAATGAGACAGCACTTCACACCCACTGGGATGGCTATTATAAAAACCAAAAAACCAAACAGAAAAATCAAGTGTTATTGAGGGTAACTGGAACCCTGGTACGCTGCTAGCAGGAATGTAAAATGGTGCACACCCTCATTGTGGAAAGCATGGCGGTACCTCACAAAGTTCAACAGAGAACTACCATATGATCCAGCAATTCCACTCCTAGGTAAATACACAAAAGAAATGAAAACATAAACTCACTTATTTGTACATCTATGTTCAGAGTTGCCTTATTCCCAACAGCTAAAACATGGAAATAACCCAAGTGTCCATCAGCGGATAAATGGGTAAACAAAATGTGATATAAACATACAACAGCATATTACTCAGCCATAAAAAGGAACGAAATTTTGATATATGCTACAACATGGATGGACCTTGAAAGTATTATGCTAAGCAAAATAAGCCAGACATAGAAGGACACATATTGTGTGATTCCACTTATGTGATGTACCAAGAATAGGCAAATTCATAAAGACAGAGAGAAGAGAGATGACCCAGGGCCAGTGGGAGAGGAGAATGGTAATGAGTACAGAGTATATACTGCGGATAATGAAAGTTTTGGGTATACATACTGGTGAGGGTTACAGAACATTGCGAATGTAATTAATACCACTGAATTATATACTTACAAATAGTTAAACTAATAAATATTATATTATGTATATTTTGCCATCATAAAATAAAAAGCTGATGGGGGACTTTGTTGAGGATAAATCCGGTCTGACGGCTCTGGAGCCCTTTGATCAAAAGGAGATGACCAAAGATTATGTGCTTCTTGATGTGATGCAAAAGGAAATATACATAGTCAATGACTAGATACCTAAAGGTATCAAGGAATTAGGGCTTTTTCAGATGTGACAATGACACTACAGTTCTGTTACTTAGAAAGTTATTTTTGGTTAGGAACTATATTGAAAAATTTCCAGATAATATAAAAAATGTTATCTGGGATCTGCCCTCACATAATACAGTGAGGCGAAGGGCAAGGGGTTGGAATATGGATAAGACTGGAGCTGGCTTTGGGATAAAAGCTGATGCGTCCAGCTGTGGACTTACAGGGGTTCATTACACTATTCTACTTCAGAATATGTCTGGAATTTTCCATAATTAAAAAAGTATTAAAGCGGTACACCCAAGGAATGGCACTAGGAGTGAGGGGAGAGAGGGAGATATACTGCCTTCATGTTAATCATTCTGTTTTCAGCATTTCAGAATTTAAGAGAAAAAATTAGGATATTATATAAAAGATGAACATGGACTTTTGTTAGATTTCAGAATATCAGGGCGCCTGGGTGGCTCAGTTGGTTAAGCGACTGCCTTCGGCTCAGGTCATGATCCTGGAGTCCCGGGATCGAGTCCCGCATCGGGCTCCCTGCTCGGCAGGGAGTCTGCTTCTCCCTCTCCCACTACCCCTGCTTGTGTTCCCTCTCTCGCTGTGTCTTTCTCTGTCAAATAAATAAATAAAATCTTAAAAAAAAAAAAAAAAAAAAAAAAAAGATTTCAGAATATCAGAATTAGGTGAAACATTTTAAAGGGGAAAGGCAATTTTAAGACAGAGCAAACTTGAGGGTATTTAGTGGTTAATAAGCTTATAAAATTAGGCATGTCAAAAAGGTAACAAATGGAGAGAAATGTGCAAAAGTGTTAATCAGTAAGTTATTCAGAAGGGTTAGGCAAATAAATCAATAAAAAATTAAAAACCACAAACTGTTTTCAAGGGAATGACCCATGGTTTATCTTTTAAGATTCGTAACTTCCGGGCGCCTGGGTGGCTGGCTCAGTTGGTTAAGCGACCGCCTTCGGCTCAGGTCATGATCCTGGAGTCCCTGGATCGAGTCCCACATCGGGCTCCCTGCTCGGCAGGGAGTCTGCTTCTCCCTCTGACCCTCTCCCCTCTCATGTGCTCTGTCTCTCATTCTCTCTCTCACAAATAAATAAAATCTTAAAAAAAAAAATTAAAAAAAAAAAAAAAAGATTCGTAACTTCCCATAAAGCCTTTACTGCTACCATGTTCAGACAGATCCCTGCTCCAGACAGACTACCAGTCCGTCAGTTTTGGTAACAAGATTTTTACAACCTTTATACCTTATACCTTATCCTTTCTCATCTATGTTCTGGGCCACTTAAGTTTTATAAGAATGGCAATTTTCAAGCAGCACAACAGATACCTGAATTCTATAGAAAAACCGTACAGAGATGAGCTTTGCCGGAGCAAGAGAAAAAACTCGGCAGCCTAAATTTAATGGTATTTAGTGACCATTACAAAGACCAAAACTTTTAAAGCACAGTTTGTATCAACACAGAGTACAGGTTTCTCAATTTTATTCTTTCTCTTACCTTTAGAGTTGCTCCTACCCAAAAAGAGTAACAGGTGTCTACGGGCTTATTAGGTCTTCCATGGTAACCATTTTGTTGCCTCATTATACACCACCTTTTTATCCGGTTCAATTCTTTTTCTGAAAAAACTTCTTCTAGTTTACCCATCAGACACAGTGACGCGATGCCACAAAAAGTTGATCCTCCTGTTAATCGAAACCACACAATACTTCAAACGTCAAATCAGATGCCTAGGAAAATAACATGAAATGGCTGGAGAAAAAAAAACAATGGTTATACAATTCTGGAAATCAGTAAAATAAAGTAAATTTAGAAGACAATTAATTATACCTTTAAAATAACCAGAAAGTGTTGGGAGTCTTCAATATTAATTTGATGAAACAGGCAGGAATTTAAAATAATTTAAAGCTCAGGCGCCTGGGTGGTTCAGTTGGTTAAGCGACTGCCTTCGGCTCAGGTCATGATCCTGGAGTCCCGGGATCGAGTCCCGCATCGGGCTCCCTGCTCGGCAGGGAGTCTGCTTCTCCCTCTGACTCTCCCCCCTCTCATGTGCTCTCTCTCATTCTCTCTCTCTCAAATAAATAAATAAAATCTTAAAAATAAATAAATAAATAAATAAAATAATTTAAAGCTCTAAGAAATATTTTACTTTTGGGGGAAAAAAAAAGACTTCGGAGGTTAAGGAACATGTTCAAAATTACATGGTTTAATGGAAGAGTTGACACTAAAACTTAGGACTCCTCCTCCCTGTCGCCCCAGTCTGATTCCTTTCCCTTAAAACCACACAGTGCTCATGAACTGCGGTTCCATCTGCCTGAGCCCACAGACTAATTTTCACATATAACACAGACAAGCTAGAAGCAGATATGCAGATATGATACCTACTCAGCTTAAAAAATTTAAGGAAGACAAGTCTGAGTGAGGGATGAGGGAGAGATCGTGTTGGGGGCGGGGAGAGAAGAAGGGCCTATGAGGAAGGAGACACGTGGGGATAATCCATTCCCTGTGGTAGACTGAATAATGACCCGCAAAGATTCAGAAGTCCAGGTCCTAACCCCTGGAACATGGCAACGTTTCCGCCTACGGCAAAAGAGACTTTGGGTGAATGTGACTACGGATTCTGAGACGGAGAGATATCCCTGGATAAATGCAACCACAAGTGTCCTTATGAAGGGGGCAGAAGGGGATGACAGAAAGAGGCGGCGATGAAACTGTGAAGCAGAGACTGGAGTGACTCGGCAACATGTCGGGAATGTCGGAGGCCACAGAAGTCGGCAGAGGCAAAGGAACAGACTCTCCGTTGGAGCCTCCAGAAGGAAGCAGCCCTGTAAAGTGCAGCTCAGACTTCTGCCTTCCAGAACTGTAAGAGAACAGGCTTGTGCTGTTTTATACCACTAAGTCCGAGGCAACAGGAAACCGGTACACTCACAAAAGTGATTCCTTTCCTCAGGAACTGAGAAGTCCTTATTTCTCCAGAAAGGAAAAGAAACAACACTTTACACTACTGATTAATTTCAGCTATGGAAATGGAGGGTTTGTAATACGCTTCATCCTACAACTTCCCTTTTACTGTTACACGACTTGGATGCATTCTCTGGCAAAAGAAAAGTCAGCATTCCCTCTAGAAAACTCCAGACAGGCAGCACATTAAAAAGGTCACTGCCAGTAAGGACTATTTAATCTTCAGAATTTTTCCCAGTGATTCCAGAGATCTATGTCAGTCATGAGTTCATGAAAAGAGAAAAATAAACAAATTTATAGTAACCTTTTAGAATAATTCCTATTAAGCAACTACCAATCTTATTTCCTCTTCAGTGACCTACCAATTTCAATTTCTCTTTCATGACAACCTGGCCATGACTTCAGGTATTATTACATCATTAAATATAAAATCTCCCAACAGATAATATGTACTCATTAACTACCAAAAAGTAGGGGTGCCTGGCTGGCTCACTCGGAAGAGCATGCAACTCTTGATCTCAGGGTTGTGAGTTCGAACCCCACACTGGGTTTAGAGATTACTTAAATAAATCAAACTTAGAAAAAAAAAAAAAAAACCTACCAAAAGGTAAAAAGAGGCATTTAATTGTTACTCTCCAAATTACTTGTTAGGATTCTTTAAAGCAAACTGGCACAATTCAAAGTAAAAATACTCTCTACTTTGCCCAAATCACCAGCTTTGCACAATGATAACTTCTGAAGTAAGTTTGAGCTCTGAGTAGCCAAAAACACTTACTGCAAAATCTATGCTTTAAGCTAAAATTCATTTACCAACATTTACCCCTGAGAGGTTCAAATATTTTATACAAAATTCTTTTTTTTTTAAATTTTATACAAAATTCTTAAAAACTAATTCTAAAAACCTGAGCTAACAGTATTAACTTAGAGTGTTAGACGCAGATACAGAGAGCAAGAAAAGACAGGTAACATCTTAATAAATAAGTCAATTAAGAAATATAAAAAAGTGGGCACAGGAACTCATATTCTATTTAGCACCAAAAGGGGCTAAATAAGGTTACATCAATGATTCCTACAAGCTTCAAAACATTTCAAGAATATTACATAATTACAGGGGCACCCAGGCGTCTCAGCTGGTTGAGCATCTGACTAGGCTCAGGTTATGATCTCAGGGTCAGGAAGTCAAGCCCCACTGCAGGCTTCTGCGCTCAGGGGGGAGTCTGCTTGTCTCTCTCCCTCTGCTCCTCCCCCCGCTTGATCGTGCTCTCTCTCAAATAAAATCTTAAAAAAAAAAAGGAATATTACATCATTACATTAAAGTACAATACAAAACTGCTTCTCATAGTTTTCTGAATTCATCAACAGAAGGTTGTGTTCATTATGCCTTGGCTGAAGAAGGTATGAAAAGAATCTTCTGTACTGAAGGCTCTTACAGTAAGACATATTAAGGCATGTGCAAACAAGAGAAAGACTGCACCTGCTGAGTTTGTCACCTGAAGTCAGATGCTTCGGTCATATGGATCATTTCGGTGTGGTGCAGAATACCATAGTCATGGACACCACAGATGGAAGGGACCACCAAGGTTGGTTCTAACAACCGACCTCAGTGCTCCTGGGGGCAGGGTGAAGGAGGTGTTCCTGCCTCTAGTCCTGGATGCTAGGACTGACTTACATTTTAACAGTGTTTTAACAGGTGTAAGCTAACTGCTCCTATAAGGTTTTAAAGCCCAATTTTAAGCATTCTCTTCTATTTATTTGCATGTACCAAATTATCTGAAGGAGTCCATGTGCTCTGAAATATATAATTTAAGGTTAACAATCATATAGCTAGAGATGAAGTAGGAAGCTAAAAATAGGTATAAAAATAAAAGTACACCATTTCACACTTAAAATACCCCATGGAAAAGGTAAAGTAAGGAAAATTCAAGAAGCTGAATGCTTACATGAAATTAGGCCAGAGAGTTGAAAATTTCTCTTCTGGATTAAGGAGTAGAGAGATTTTTGAAGAACCATGGAATCAAATTAATTTATGTGAACTATTACTTTTATATCATGAATCCTGAGAGGAAAAAATAGCTTTAATTCTAGCAGAGCAGGAAAACCCAATTCTTCCAAACACATGAACACTTTACCCTACAACTGTGCTAGTGCTTAAGAGACTCACTAGGATAAAAAGGAATACTCACATCTGATGATCACAGCCTAGAAGGCTTTGCAGGACAAATGGGCTCTCAGCTAAGCAGTTGTGGGAGAAGAGCCGATGAACTGCAGCAGAAGGACGTGCAGCCCACACACAGCCTCCCGCACTTCGGGATGCCGAGGGGAAGAGGGGACAGTCAATTCAAATACTTGCTGGACAAGCGCACGGTATGAGGGCAAGTGGAGTTGGACACGAATGAGACCTACTGGCTCACAATGTAGCAGGGACGCTAAGGCAAATGGGGAGGTGCCATGAAGATGGTATGAGCCCAGTATGGCTGGAATACAGAAAAGGGAGGCATTGCTTAGGGATAGCGGATGAGACGATGAAGAGTTTGAGAGAGAATGGAACCAGCCACAGGAAGATTGGCAAAACTCGGAAGGTTAGGAAAAGGGGAAAGAGGAGAAGCAGGTGGGAGGGGAAGCATTTCGGGCAAGGGAAGAATGTTGGCCCCGTCCCTCAGGGAAAAGGCCCGTGAGAACATGGGGGGAGCACACGTTCTCTGCAGCCTGGGATGCACGGAAGGGGTGGCCCATGGGTGCGTCTACAAAGCGAGGCTGGAAGCGGACACGGAGAACTAAAATGAGGGGCGCTGCTGAGCACGCACAGGGTTTCCAGTGGGCTACATTACATGCCCGACGATATATGAGCCTACTGGGGAAGTCACAACTCTGAGAAAAATGACAATGGCTACTACAGTGGTTTGGTTCCGCGTCCACCTGCCTGGGCCAGAGGTGCTTCCCTGTATGGTCTGCAGCCCGCGAAGTCTGCGTGGGATCCGCTGGAAGGAGAGAAGCAGCACCCACTATCCCAGCTGCGGTTCAAGGAGCTGAGAGACAAAGGCAGAGGTGCCAGGAGATTGCACCTTGCCCTTATTCTCCCACATACCTGGAATGCAAGTCCGCTTTACTTCTTGCCCTGGTGACCCAAGACCCATAGTCAGATGCTGGAGCAACGGCCCCCGCCAGACTCCTCTACCACAGCCCTGCTCTGGTCGCTGGATGCACCTGACCTGCCAGGTCTCGCTGTCCACCTGGGCCAGGGCCGCAGGATGCCTTGTCAGTGACTTCCCCCCAGTCCAGCAACTTGCCCTTCAGGCCCTTCCTTCTCCATATTCCTCCACAGTCTTATTCCTACGATAAGTCCCAGTTCTTTACTACTCATGGTGGTCTCGCTCTCTGACGGAATCCAAGTCACACACAGATGCCCACTCCCAGAGGGCTGGTGTGAGGATTAAATGAGACTAACTGGTAGCTGGCACAGGGCAGCTGCTTCATCATAAATTCCAGTCCTTTCAGTCTGGAGATCAAGGATTATAAACAGGCGACCTACAGGAGAACACTGGTGTAAGTGCAAATAAAACAACAAAACAAAACAGAACATGAGATCAAACGCCCCGAATTCTGGACTTCTGGCTTCTATGGACTGAAAAACCAGTAGGTCCGGAAGTAGCGGCTCCACATTCCTGAGGAGCACATTGAGGCGTGGGAGGAAGGAATGAAAACACGATGGCTCCACAAACGCGCAGCCTGCGGTGCTGAAGGACCAGCACAGGGGGACTAATAAAACCATCCATTCGCTCATCTCAGCACACGCCACATGTGCCAGGTGTGGGGGACGCAAGAGTGACTGAAATGGGTAAAGATCTCCGTTCCCGTGTGCGGACAGACAGATAACACACACATGATAAAACAGAATACAGAGAAAACCAAGGGCAGGAAAGGGGATAGGGAATGGAGTGTGTGTGGGTGATCTGCAATCTCAAAAATGGTAATTAAAAGCAATCATTGGAGCCAAGACCTAGGGATATGAAACAGAGCCAAGTGTAAGCCAGAGGTGAGGGTGGAGGGTTTTCCGTACACAGCACAGCAAGTACAAGAAGAGCCCTGAGATTCAGAAAGAGGAACCACCCGAAGGCAAGAAAAAGGTGGGTCCAGGTAAGGGGGCAAGAGGAAGACACAAGCATAGTGAAGGAGCCAGAAACAACTCGTGAGGAAGCGGGGCAAGAGGAACCTGACACTTCCAGAAAGCAGGGGAGAGGCTAACAGCTTCCAGTGCTTCAGGAAACACAGGGCGAGAAGTAAGAAGGCGACAATGGGTTTGAAATGTCGATCACTGGTGACTTTACAAGAGAAACTCCCGAAGCTGCTGAGGCTTATACAGAAGGCTGAAGAATAAGCCACTTGTGGAGAAGGGCCAAGAGTATATTTGGACTGCTTCTCTGAAAAGATTAACCAGAGAAAGAAGAAGGGAGAAGACAAAAGCTTGCAGGGGCGGCCAAACTGCAGGCTGACTTCTGAGGAGGAGGTCTCGCCTGGCAGCGCTGAGAGGAGAGAAGGCGTGGAAGGAAGGGCCTCCAGAGCAGTCTCCTCAGCCTATCTAACCTCACAGCACCCGGACGACAGGATGCCTGACGTGCGTGCGCACTCTGTGGCACCCTGAGCGGGGACTCCAGACCCACAGCTTTGCTTGGCTGCCCCCAAGGTGGAGGGAGCTGGTATCTAAGCATTCCTGGAGCCCACTGGCAGGACACCAGCCCACTGTGGCACCCTGAGTAGGACGCCCTTCTCTAGAGCTTTGGGTCTCAAGCCCACCAAACAAATTCAAAGAGAAAAGGAAGATAGATCTAAGCTTTTTGCATGAACCACAGTCCATGACTGATGATCTCAATGGGTGTAATCCTACTCAAGTCATACAGACTTAAAATCACTACTAAGTGTGGCTCAGCAAGATGCTTTCCTGACAGGAGCTGTCAGAGAGACTCATGTTTGAGCAGCCCTCTGTTTCATGTTCCGGCAAATGCAATCCCAATTTCCTGGGACCCACGGCATCTGTATCACAGGTCTCCCGTACTGGTAATGTGTCGCCTCAGCCAGAGTGCCTGTTAACACCCTCTCCAACACCTAGCACGAGGCCCTGGCTTCTCGGAAATTCTCAGACACCAGATTTCCTCTCTGTGCACCCACGAGTACATATCCCTCCTCACCAAGTGGTGATGACCAGTGACAGAACTGCGACTGCAGTTTGCCCCAAGCCCAATCTCATCCAAATGTAGGCACACATAGGAATTATGGTGTCCTGATTACAGTACGGCTTCAGAGGAAACACAGAGACAGTCTTCTACGTGGCCCTTCGTGATACGCACCCTCCAAATATCTACATTGAAGGAGGGAGTGAAGATGTGTGAGAGGGAGAAGACCAGCAGGACAAGGTCTCAGGGGAAGTACAAGGAGATGGGGTCAAGGAGTAGATGTTAAAAATATCTTTTTATACATGTTTTATAGTTTACAAACCACCTTCCCCCTACCTCTTATAATCCTAGCAACAATTTTAAAATTAAAGGAAGGTCCAATTATTTCTTGTCGGTCAACAAGGAAACCCTCAGAGCGATTAAGTGAGGGGCCAGGTCCCAAGCAGGTATCAGGGCTGAGACCTGTTCTTTCTGAGATCTGTCATGCTGCCAGAGGGCGAACACAAAGAGACTGCCATAATAAAGAGGAAACCTCAGGAGTTCACTCAGAGAGCCTCCTTGATCTAGGATCTTTCTTTTTAAAAAAAGAACACTGCTGGGGAGCCTGGCTGGCTCAGTCAGTAGAGCATGCAACTCTTGATTGGGAGTCGAGCCCTATGCTAGTTGTAGAGATTACTTAAAAATGAAATCTAAAAAAAAAAAAAAAGGAAGAAATTAAAAAAAATTAAAAAGGAGCATGGCGCTTACTTACTCTTACATGGAAATACTCAATTTGAAAAACTTCAGGCTACTGATGTGCTGACAGACTAAGTATATCACTTCCCTATTCTGATTCTGCCCCAAGTGGGGAAAAGGGTGAAAGGAGAAACGCTATTAATTTATACAATGAACATATGCTATGCAGCAAAATGTTTTACGGCAATGACTAAGGATTATTATATTGAGAAAGACATTTTCATTTCTTCACAAGTTCATTGATTCATGCTTAATATTCTGCCTCTAGCTTTTCAGTGTTATGCCAAAAAAGAAAACTTGCTGTCTTCTGGCACTATCTTAAGAAATCACCCCAGGATATTATCATACAGCTGACAGTCAAATAGGTAACCTGAAAATACTAGAAAAGTATGAAAATCTTAGTCTGAACATTCTCTGACCTATTACTGAGCTAGAAGACATTCAAAGTGGCATAAAGCGTCAAAAGAGAGAAGTAGGAAAGACAACAACCACGGGCTGAGGCAAACTTCCAAGGTTCTCCATGTCGCAGATGCCATTGTTAATTAAAGGAATAAAAGAAACTACATGTTCATTTACTTTAAGATGTCTTACCATGAGATTCAAGTCCAGCTCCCTGTGCCAGTCCATTGTCATAGGACTGAAAAAGAAAAACATTATTCAGTTTAATAGGGAAATGATAATAAGTAAGTCCTCGTTATGCTAATTTTTGGTCTCTTGCTCCATTTTGGTTTCTCCCTCATATCTCCAAAATACTCTTTCCCACAAAGGAGTAGTTGTAGGCATTTCCAAGTACCTGGTCTTGGCTTATTCATCAAGTCAAATCACTAAATGCATACAGCAGGCACATTCTGAGACAGTTTGTTCAAAGATGGCATCTATATATTTGATTTCTACCCAATAAAAAGCCCCAACCCTTATTCTTTTCCTACTTGCAAGACTATACAAGTTTAAGGAAAATGTAAAGATGCTGTACTAATAAAATATTATAAACATGGAACAAGTCTATTTTGAGGCTTGTGGGTAGCTAAGGGTAACAGCACCTGCCCAAATGTGGATCTCCCCATATATCCCACAAAATCAAAACAGAACAATACAACTATATAAAGCCGAAACCTTAGCAAAGCTGGAAGACGTGTGTAAGCTTTAAATTACCTGTCTATAGAAAAAGAAACCTCAAATCCCAGCAAGCTGTCTCTCCCACTCCTGTCACCCTTTTGCAGAGAGCAAGGGAAGTTTGTGGAAAATCAGGGGCCGGGGGGGAGCCAATGGTAGGCATGAGACAGATCTAAAATCACCGCTGGAGGGAGAAGGTCCACCCTAAGAGCGAAATATAGGTAGTCCTTCTTTTGTGCAGTTCTGATACGCACAAATTCCACATACCATCCTTCAGCTAAACAACACAATATGGTTCCAATTTCTGCAACCACGGTATATTAACTATGAGCAACTGCACAGAGTACAAACTTGCTGCTAGCATCTCAGTTCACAAGTCACTACATAAACAACAGATGTGCATCATAATCAGTAACTAGTCCCACCACCTTTTTCAGAGTCTGTTAGTAACTGGTCACTGCACATATTGTTCAGTTCATGCACAGACAGCAAAATGTATGGTTGTGTTGTCTCTTCCTTTGTCTTAGTAGTAAACCCACGTGACGGTCTCTGAAAAGGCAGAACCAAAAGAACAGACTGGCCACCAAATCAAGAAATGAGAAGCGGCACCACTAGAAGTGAAACTGAGCTCAAACACAGAATTAGAAAAAAACGGCTAGTCCCGGGAAGGCTGCTGGTGCTGCCGTCGGAAGAACTAAGTGAAGGCAGGGGCCTGCATGAGTGAGGACCACGGCTGTGACACAAAGGATGAAGAAAGGAATCCTTGGAGATGTTTCACAACGATGAAAACACAAAGGAGAAAGTGCTGGAAGCTGCTATGAACTTAGGAAGGAGTCTGATCATTTACCGAGACAGAAACGATGCTCCCTCCCTGTCCTAAGTTACGTAAGGAAACAAGGCAAACACTGTCCAAACTACTTCATTCTTTTATATATATATATATATATATATATATAGCTTTTTTTTTTTTTTTACAAAGAAAACACTTTAACTCTCAATATTTCTAATGTTTTAATATTACAATGTACTAAATAAATACTGGTTTTACCGCTTAAAACTTCTCTGTACGCACACTTACGACTCCCGAAGAGTTTGTGATGTGATGGCAAAAAGCTGCACAGGCCCCAGAGCAGTGGTGATCTCCCCCTGACGACTCAGATCCCTGGGCCTCACTCAGCCCATGTGGTCACAATCCCTATCACGGGCCGGCCCACCACGCCAGGCGAGCGCTGCCGGGACTGTGTGAGTTCTGGAACAGTAGAGCGCTGACCACTGGGAAGGGACTTCAGAGGGTGCAGTGCTTAGAGGGAATGACTTTGATGAATCAAGTTAACAAGGAAGAGAGATGGACCCGCCAAAGATCAGGTCATAAAGGACACCAAAGGACCAACATTTAGAGACATGAGAAACAAGAGAATCTCTCTTCTACCAGGAAATCATGAAACACATACTTTCCCCAACATGAAAACAAACAAACAAAATCAAACCCCACAAAAACTCATTAAAGAAATCACACTTTGTTGACTGAAAAGAGTGTACTCTTAAATAGAAATTTTTCTAAGAAAGAACATCTGCAAAATGACTAAACAAGGAGACAAATCTATATAAAATAACTCTGAAAACACAGCAAATGGAATGAAAACATCTCGGTGTATGAAAATCTGCCCCTGCCTCCCCAAAATGGACATAAAGCAGAGGAGAACTGTAATACAGCAGCCCAAACTCAACTGTGATTATCAAGCAAGCACCTGAGAGTATGAAAAGGAAACTAAAAGTTAAAAACAGAAAGGACAAACAGTAGGAAGAAATAAAGAGTTCAGTGACTTCAGGAAATAAATGGAAGAAAATAAGGAATAGTAAGACCAAGGAATAACAGTCTCAAAAGAAAAGACAGTAAGGGACACTGACGAAAGGCAGAAAACAGCCAAGAGACTAAAACTAAGACACAGCAGTAAAAAGGGTCAGAGAAAAAGTGACTGAAATCAAAGATAAGCAAAGAAGAAAGAGCATACACAAAACTGGAGTTCCTATAGGAAAGCAAACTAATTATGGACTGGAACTCGGGTTAGCAAACTGCAGGCTACTGGTGCTCATGTGTGACCTGGTGCTCTATCGTCCTGGAGTGAAGAAAGTGGTCAAGCTCACTCATAATAAAAGCAATACAAATTAAAAATAAACACACTGAAAGATCATTCTTCACCCACCAGACTGATAAAAATTAAAGAGGATGACAACACATTGCTTTGGCGAGGTGGTATGGAAATAGGCACTCTCCTACACTGGTGGGAAGAGAAACTGGTCTGCCCTTTTCGGAGAGAAAATGGGCAACATCTAGTAAAATTACATATGCATTTACCTTTTGATCAAGCAAGTGCACTACTAGGAATTCACTCTGAAGATCTATCTCCAAAAATACATAAATGCATATGCAGATGGTTATTAATTTCAACATTGTTCGCCTTTGGAAAATACGTGTTCCATGTTCAGAACCGTTCAAAAAACTAGGTACATGCACACAATGGAGTACTATGAAACTAAGTATCTGTGGTGTGCTACCTTGTGAGGAAGAAAGGAGAAACAAAAATGTACATATCTGCTCATCAAATACGGGAAGGACAAAGCAAATGCTAATGAGATTGGTCCCCTACGGTGTAAACGGAACAAGGTGGCAACTACGCCACTACGGACAGGAGTGAGCAAGGGGGCGAGACAGAAGGGACAGGAGGTAAGGAGTAACACATCTTGGAATATCCCTTTTTGTACAGTTCTGACTTTCAGAACCAAGTCAATATTTCACATATTAAGTAAATCTTTAAAAATTAACAACATTGGGGGAAAACCCTAAAATGAAGCCCCAAACACCAACAAACTTAGCTGTATTTTAACTAAATAACATAACCATACTAAAGGGGGTGGGGAATAACAGAAGTAACTCAAGCACTTTTTTTTAAAGATTTAATATTAATCTCTATACCCAATGTGGGGCTCGAACCCATGACCACAAGATCAAGAGGGGCATGCTCTACCAACTGAGCCAGCCAGGAGCCCCTCAAGTATTTCTTAAATATGGTATTTTGACTATATACCTTCAGGTTCAAACAAAAAGAGCAATGTATCTTGGATAATGGGAACCAGGCTGGTGACTGTCTGAGAAGGGAGTTACAAAAAGAAAGGAGGAAGATAAAAAAGAACTGTGGTGCTGGACTGAAATTTGAGGTATCAATAGGACTCATGGTTTTTATTACACACATAGATAAGGAAATAGAGGTGAGTGGGTGCGTATAAGTGGGGGGCGGGGGGGGGAAGGATTCTGTGCATAGACACACGCATACATACATTTCCTAGCTCAGCCTGCTGAGAGAGGGACTAGAAGCCATGATATCCCAATGCCAGTGAGCACAGCGATCGTGCCCAAATGCTCGTTTCTACACACCATCCTCCAGTAGGAACCAGGGCTCCTTGCCAAAATGACAGATTCCAGGGCTATGGCTCGGAAAGTACAAGATGAACCTGGAAAATCTTGTGCCAGAAAGCCAACTGCTGCTCAAAGAATGAAGGGGGTGAGACAAAAAAAGGCACAAGCGTCCGCGTGGTGGGGCTCGCTGAATCCGGGACAATCTGACCATCAAAATAAGTAACGACAGTAACAGGCAATAGCCCACTGGATAAAACAAGAATCTGGAGTTCAAAGTGATACAGACAGATGTAAAGAGAAAGCTTTTTCTAAAAGCAGAATTTCAACTGAAAAATCACAGGAGGAATGACAGAGCTGGAAAATCCTCAACTGCATACCACCACCAGCGGATAAAAGTTTGAAGAGGAACAGGTTATTTAACAGTCTCCAAATCCCTCACCACAAGATACTGAATAATGATACGCAGAGAAATGCTAACCTAACCGGCGCTCCAAAGTCACCGTCACTGGTAGCAGGGCAAATCAATACGCTGTATTTCCACATACAACACATGAAGGAGAACACAGCGTTGCCGCCGTAGCAGTTACGCCAAAACACACGTCACCCATCCTTCTACTGAATATAAATCTCCTTTCCCTCTGAAGCTCCTTGAAGGGCCTGTTCTTTCTGCTCCACGGGCTCTCCGAAGTTTGGACTAGTGCCGATTCTACAAAATCTGACCCATATTCACACCTTCAGTTAAAAAAAATTTCACTCCTCTAAGAACTTAATTTTCATTTTGAAACACTGACGAGTAAAAGTTGAATTAATCCTAAAAGAGTCTAGTCTATGAAACGAAAACTTCAGATTTGGGAAGTAATAAACCTGGGAAGCAACATTTCTATGTCTCAGTTTCATACAAAAGACAAAAAAGTAGAGCAAGGGATAATTCTGGCTGAGACTAAGCTTTCCTTACTACTGCCAATGAAAAGATTAAGTTGTATTGTGAAAGAATAGCACTTCTATTTGATACTTGCCTTAAAATAAACCTTAGATTAAAAAAAAGGGGGCACGGGGCGCCTGGGTGGCTCAGTCGTTAAGCATCTGCCTTCGGCTCAGGTCATGGTCCCAGGGTCCTGGGATCGAGCCCCACATCGGGCTCCCTGCTCAGAGGAGAGCCTGCTTCTCCCTCTCCCACTCCCGCTGCTTGTGTTCCCTCTCTCGCTATCTCTCTGTCAAATAAATAAAAAAATCTTTAAAAAGGGGGGGGAGGGGCACACACAAGTATTAACAAAAAGATCCAAAAATCTATTGTTAGCCCAGTCAATCTTGTTGTATGTGGTTCTTGCTAATCAAATGACTTCCGGAACTCCCACCTCACACCAAATATAGAAATAGTCTCACCTAAGAAACCATAATTTTCCATTATGCTTGGCCAGGGCTCCGCACTAACCCCTGCTAGCAAAGGCCATCAAACATGTGCCTGTGAGATTTTACGTCATTTTTTTTTTTCCTTCTAAGGCTGACCAATCTCTTTCTAGTAAAGACATTTGTTTCCTTAGATACAATCAAATGATGTTTGAATTTTAACGGCCAATGAATCAATCTGTCCTTCACAATTATTTCTATATGGCTGTTCTGATTACACAACATATCCAAAAAGCAACCTTACTGCCCTTATTTCCAGATTCTTGGTGGAGGAGAGATGAGACGTGCATTATAGTGCAGTCGCCATATAGCAACAATAACCTAAAATAGTCATTTATCAACATAACTCACCATACTTCTTCTAATATAATTGATGGCTTTTTTCATATCCATGCCCGACCAGTTGTTGAGCATGTAGCAAATACAGGAGGCACAGTATACAAATCGCATATCATTTTCACTGCCTTCAGGGACTGCACAGAAGCTGAAAGAAATAACACTATGATTTACGATTCCATCGCACTATAATTTAGTTTTTATTTTTTCTGCGGGGGAGGGAGGGGTGAGAAACACCTACTTCATGTCTTTACTCGCAGAAAAATCTATGATTAAATATGGATTTAAAAACCGTATACTACTTATATTCGTCAATAAAGAACAGGACTATTAACTTGAATAATATAAAATGATCTCTAAATCACCGCTCCATTTCAAAGTTCTGATTTCTGGGTAGCTTTATACACTACCAGTTAATCCTTCCCAGATGGCACCACTTGAAGTGTCTTTGTTCCCTATCCCGGACAATCGTGGCATGCTAGCTTGAGAATTAATGGGGGGAAAAGCACCCGGGACCCACTGGGCAGTAAGAAATTTCCAAACCCAAGTTTTGACATGTGAAATTTCTCCTAAATGTATATGTAGATAACCACTAACTAACACAATATTGTATGGTGATTTTTTTTTTACCTATTCCATTAGTTTTAGAGAGGTAACAGTCTGAGTCTGATATCTAGTCCTTTATTTATAAACAAGGAAAAGGTGGCAGTAATCAAAGACTATATGGAAACTTTGAGATATTAGTCACATACACTGGCTGAGGTAAAGATTTTTACAGTATTTCCAATTAATGATAATTTATCTTACAAGTCTAAATTAATTTTCTCCTCATCAAGAGCAGTGTTTTTTAAACACTGAAGGGAAAACAGAGGTATCAGCTGATGGAGCACTAACGTAACAATACAGCAGAATTGGTTTGCAAACTTTTTTCTCTAGATGGTATCACTTTGCCACTTCCTAGATTTGGGGCGGCGTGGGGGGAGGTTTCACCTTAAAACTCTAGGAAGATTCCTTAAACATACCATACAGACCACCAAATATTACTGAACTAAGTTCTTTTTCTATCCTTTACAAACATCACTGAATCTACCTTCACTAGAATGTAATAGTCAATGTTCATTCCTTTCTGCCCCAGTCACTATGTCTTAAGGAACAGAAGTACAGACTAGTGTATGCTTACTTCAAAATATCTTTTTTGTCACCCAGAAGGTAAATTAAAGTCCATCCTAATATTAAAACCATTCAACCACTTATTTATGAATGTATTCACTGTCTCAATTTAGACAAGAGAAAAAAACAAGGAGCTCTGCTATTATGATTTCTTTTTACTGAAATAAGAAATCTTGGATTATTTTTTGATTAGGGATTGTACATAGAGTGAACATTAAAGGATTCTAAAAGGGTTTATAGTAAACCCTAAAGTTCTAGTATAGTATTATACCCATTTTTCAGTTCTATAAAATTTTTCCAAAAAAGAAAAGGGAAAAAACCAGAGTGATGTGTACCTTCCATCTTCCAGCTGAAGGGCTCTCAAGCCTGCTAAGCAAGCTTCCTTATTGACTCGGCTTAGGTCATCTCCAAGAATAACTAAGCATGAAAGGCCAGTGTAGGTCATTGCTATGTGGCCACTATCGTAAGGATGAGCTGTTCCAGGATTCTAAAATCAAAATTAACATGATGTTATTTAACTAGTAAACTGAAAACTTAGTTCATTAAGTAATCTGACACCAGGTTTCAGGAACTAGTAAAATTAAATGTTTGTACTGACTTATACCAACACCTGATTGAAAAAAACAAACCTCCATTTTGTAGGTCTCAATGTAAATACAATTGCATGCTTTCCAGGCTACACAATTATTTATTTATTTATTTATTTATTTTTAAAGATTTTATTTCACAGAGAGAGACACAGCGAGAGAGGGAACACAAGCAGGGGGAGTGGGAGAGGGAGAAGCAGGCTTCCCGCAGAGCAGGGAGCCTGATGCGGGGCTCGATCCCAGGACCCTGGGATTATGACCTGAGCCGAAGGCAGTCGCTTAACCAACTGAGCCACCCAGGCGCCCGGTTTTTTTTTTTTTTAATTGAAGTACAGTTGACACACAATGAAGAACGTTTTAATTTTGACAGAATACAAGCATATTTTAAAATTCATCTCTGTCATAGGTTTCCCTTCTATTTTAGTTTGGATTAATCAGTAATTGCTTCAAATCCTAGAATAATACTCATCATACTAGAAGGTCAAAGTGAAACTTGTACCAAGGTTTTGGTTTAAGCAGACTCCTCTACCCACTCTAATAAATGTTAACTTCTATAACCACTGAAATGCATCAAATCCTGCCTCTACTACTCATTGGCTTGCTTCACTTCCTCCTTCTGGAAAATGGATATTAATACCTCCCTCAAGGGGTTATTGTGAGGATTAAATAAAATTACCATGACAAAGATGCTAGTTATCCTGATGCTGATGGAAGTACAAGGCAAATATCCAAAGGGCCACTACTTCTTGGGAGTCTTGAACTAGGTTCCTGGACCCACCAGGGAGTGAATCACATTATTTTCCTGCTCACCCACCTTCTGTGGTTCCTCACAGAACAAGTTTGCAAGGTGTTCAATACCTTCTATAATCGGAACCCACCCCACCCATCTGGCCTTACATACACGATTCTTTTGTGGTCTCACAAACATGCCAAACAAATTTTCATCTTGCTAACCCTTTCATTCTGAGTTCCTCCCTAGAGCTCGAACTCTGGTACTCCTGGCTATTCTATTCCACATTTGTAATAGCCTGCCTAGAACTCCTAGAGCACATTTCAGTTTTTGGTACTTAAACTAAACATCTACTATGTTAAAAGCACCGTGGGGAATCCAAACAGAAATCAAATGTGGAGCTTAACCTTAAGGGCAGAAGAAAGGGTCTGGTCAAGTAATTACAATACAAAGTAGAATGTAATAAGCGTCATGAGGGAGATACATTAACACAAAGATTTACCTTTTTTTTGTTTTTTTAAAAGATTTTATTTATTTGACAGAGACAGTGCACAAGCAGGGGGTGTGGTAGACAGAGGGAAAGGGAGAAGCAGGCTCCCCGCTGAGCAGGGAGCCCGATGTGGGGCTCTATCCCAGGACCCTGGGATCATGACCTGAGACGAAGGCAGATGCTTAACTGAGTCACCAAGGTGCCCCAAGATTTATTTTTTTAAATTGTCATCTTATCTTCTGTTAGTCAAATCTGAAGACTGTTTCACTTTTTTTTTTTAAGTAGGCTCCATGCCCAGTGTGGGGCTTGAACTCACCACCCTGAGATCAAGATTTGCATGCTCTACTGACTCAGCCAGCCAGGCACCCCAGTAACACAAAGACTTAAATAAGGGATTTTTTTTCTGCAGCAGCAGAGGAGCTTGGTGGGTGGAAAGGAGAGAAGGCTTTATAGGTAGAAGAAAAAGTAAAAGCGAAGTGGAGAAAGAAAATTCTGGGTGTCTAGCATGTATTAGAGACAACACATAATTTAACAGAGAATATAGCATTTGTGAAGGAAAACAGTGAGAAAAGTGGGTTGAGAGGATCCATCACTGTTTCTCAAGAAGTACTCTATGGCCATGGAAGGCCCTGGGCATTTATCAGGTAAGGCAATGGCCCACAGGTGGTTTGGTGGTTTTGGAAGAAAAACTGATGACACTACTGTTATATACTTCATCGGACAATCCTATGCGCCTCCTCAGATTCTTGCGGACTCTCAGCCAACCACTCTCAGTGACAACCCCTGGGAGGCCGATATGAGTCCCCCTGGCATCTCTTGCTCCTTCCACCACTCAAATTCAGATGAACACAATGTGGCATAGAGTGGGACCTGGCCTCCCCAGAAGATGCCAGGCGTCTAGGTGAATGTCACCAAAAATGGGTGTCAGGAGACTCTGCCAACCAAGGCAAAAATGGTTTCTTCTTCAATTTTATTCCTGTTTAAAAATGTCTTGGGGGTGGGGGAGACAAGAGGAAGGGGATTGTCAAAATGTATCAAAGCCCTGTTTTATTTCAATCAGGGTGGGTACACACAAGATATGGCACTAGAGAATGGTCATCATGACCACTCGTCATGGCACCCAGATAGCCTGTCCACTAGGAGTAAAGGGAGAGCTATCTTCTTCAGGACCAGCATCAGCTGGAAAAGACTGTATATGCAGGAAAAAGGGAACATAGTTTACGAATCCTGTTTGCAGACTCCCTGCTAAAAGCAATGGGCACACATGATTGGAGACATCTTGGCAAATTCACATGACCTCGACACAGGCAGGTGGATCTAGAGCCTAAGACAGAGGAAGAAAGCTGAGGCAGTGCCTCCATGAAATCATGCTGCCTTCTCCCAAATCACTGCTATTTATTCTAAAATGTTGAAGCAGAGCATGAAAAAATGGGTAGTATGCCATTTACATTCAGATTGCAACTGGATATAAATCCTGACACACTCCGTGTTGCTAGACACTAGCTTATAACCAATATATAAGCAGAGTGACCCCATCAGAGGAAAAGTTTCTATGCTGTGTGGCCCTCTTTTGAAAAAAATGAGGAAGTTTCTCTCTGCTTCCACTATAGAAAAACAGTTATTTTGTGCCGAGATGCAAACACCTTCAGAGCTGGCTCTGGATCTGATGCTTTGAAGAAGCAGAAGTTCCTCCCTCTATGAGGAGTCCCTGCTTGCTGCACGCGGTGTGCTGGTACCAAAGCCTCTGGCCGTAACCCTCAAGACAGCCTGCTTGTTGCCACAATGTCCTCAAATTCATCACTGCTCAGGTCTTCAATCACTGCCTTGGCAAGAGCTTTGTCTTTTATTCCTAAGAAACGTGAGTCGAATGTAGTCTTTCACTAACACAGAAGTTCTCTGGCTTCCTGGAGAGCAAGCACCAAGCACGAGTGCTTTATTTCCAATTCTCCAGGAAATCACCAATAATTTTTATACAAACGACAGGAGGAGAGTCACGATACTTGGGACAGCAGGGATCTCTGCACGCGTATGGGCTGCGCATTCTGCCAGGAAGTGAGGTGCGGACCACACTCCTTCCAGGAGCTGCAGGTGTAATGTACATTAGTAGGCAGTATATCCAGCTATATCAAAACATGGAAGCTTGGTTCCGTCTGGGTAATTTCTTAGTTTTCTGTCTCACTAATTTTATCAGCCACCTCCCTTCTTCTTCCTCCTGACCCAGACAGTAACTCACCTTCGATGGATTGAATGGAATACCCAGGTATGAAGAGCCTCGGAAACCACAGCGGTTTAGATTTGATCCTAGAAAATAAATACATGTACTTATTTAGAGTATACTTTATTTTTGTTCGGACTCTACAGCAGTTCAATTAAACATTCTTTCAGAAACTGAGCATTTTAGTATGAAAGCTTTGTCACTGTGTCCATTTTCATTCTAGCTAACGGTTTAGTACCAAAGCTTTGTTACTGTGTCCATTTTCATTGGTTAATGCTCACCATGAACCAAGGCTGTTCTCTTTTTGTGGGAATTTCCTCATTTAATTTTCAAAAAAAATTTTAAGTTTATTTATTTTAAAACAATCTCCACACCCAACATAGGGCTTGAACTTACAACCCTGAGATCAACAGTTGCACACTCTTCCGACTGAGCCAGCCAGATGCCCTTCTCATTTTCAAACCAGAGACAAAATAATGATTTCCTACCATGTACCTTCAGTTTATAGCCTACCTCACTGCATACAAAATGCTTCCACATCTTTTCCGTATGATCATTTTTCATGTGATCAACATATTTAACCCCATGCTAAAGGAGAGAAAGCAGAAGCCCAGAGGTTAAGTGACATGTTCAAGGTAACGCATCAGAATCTGGAATCCTAATTTCCCATCCAGTGTCTTTTTACTTTAACTCATTGCTTCTTTACATGTGAGCAAACTAAAGGTATAAGCTGCTCTAGTTGCAAAAAATATATGTACTTAGTGTTTTAGTATTGGACAAATCTTCGTTCTGAGTCTAATAACGTACTTTGCTTTGAAGTACTAGGAACTTAATAAGCCAGAAACTTGAGTCACATCCATGAAAAGGGAGCCCTGTGCACTGGTGGTGGGAATATAAATTGGCACAGCCATTATGGAAAACAGTATGGAGGTCCTTCAAAAAATTGTAACTAGAACTACCATATGATCCAGCAATCCACTACTGGGTATATATCCAAAGGAAACAGGATCGCTATCTTGAAGATACGTCTGCAACCCTGTGATCACTGCAACATAATTTATAATAGCCAAGACATGGAAACAACCTAAGTGTCCAACGACAGATGAGTGGATAAAGAAAATTTCTCTCTCTCTGTTCCTCACATAGACACAACACCAGAATGTTATTCATCCATAAGAGAGGAAATTCTGCCTTATGTGACAATACATGGAACTTGAGGGCATTATGCCACATGAAGTAGGTCAGAGAGAGAAATAAATACTATAATACTTTATGTCCTCACTTATATGTGGAATTTAAAAAGGCTGAACTCACAGAAACAGAGTAGAATAGTGGTTGTCAGGGGCTGAGAGAAATGGGGAGATGTTGGTCAAAAGTACAAACGTCTACCTGTAAGATGAGTGAATTCTAGGGATCTAATGTACAGCATGATGGCTATAATTCATAGGACTGTATTATATCCTTGAAAGTTATAAGGAGAGTGGGGAGCCTGGGCGGCTCAGTTGTTGGGCGTCTGCCTTCAGCTCAGGTCATGATCCCGGGGTCCTGGGATCGAGCCCCACATCGGGCTCCCTGCTCAGCGGGGAGTTTGCTTCTCCCTCTCCTGCTCCCCCTGCTTGTGTTCTCTTTCTCTCTCTGTCAAATAAATAAATAAAATCTTAAAAAAAAAAAGTTATAAGGAGAAATCTTAAATGTTGTCACACCACACACACACACACACACACACAAAAGGAAATTATGTGAGGGGATTGTGGTAATCATTTTGCAATATATTCATGTAACAAATCATCATGTTGTACACCTTACACTCATATATATGTCAATAATACCTCTATAAAGCTGGAAAAAAATAAGAAAACTATAAATGAAAAATTAGTTACACCCACAATGAGAACGTAATTATGGTTCTGATAGCTATTAGAAAATCAGCATGACAGATGTAGAGGACAGAAGTGAAGTATCCACAGAATGTGCATGCATTTTAATAAAAAGTCAAGTAGATGTGGAGTGCCTTGGTAGTGCAGTCAGTTGATCGCTTGACTCTTGGTCTCAGCTGAAGTGTGATCTCAGGGTCATGAGATCGAGCCCCAGGTCCAGCTCCACGCTCAGCACAGAGTCTGCTTGTGTTTCTCTCACCGTCTCCCTCTGCCCCTCTCCCTGTGCTTTCTCACTCTAAAAATAAATAAATCTTAAAAAAAAATCAAGTAGATGTATAGTTTTTTTTTTTTTTAAGATTTTATTTATTTATTTGACAGAGAGAGAGAGGGAACACAAGCAGGGGGAGTGGGAGAGGGAGAAGCAGGCTTCCCACCGAACAGGGGGCCCGATGTGGGGCTTGATCCCAGGACCCTGGGATCATGACCCAAGATGAAGGCAGACGCTTAACAACTGAGTCACCCAGGTGCCCCTATAAATAGGTTTTGAGGTGCGAAACTAGTTTCATATCTCTTACGACTGGAACATGCCTAATTCATACTAATTAGTTTTCACTCTTCTATTTCTTCACATCAGGTACTCTATTTAGCTTTATATCTCCAATAGTACTTAGAATAGTAACTTAAACATTAATTTCTTGAACAATTTAGGGAACTTTACCCACTAAATGTAAAACTTCCACTAACCACCTTCCCCCTTTAACAAAAAAATTTACATGAAAAAGGGTATTGTCTAATGGTGAAGATACTAAGGAACAGAGTTCTCCCATCTTTGCTAAAGATTTTGCTAAAAAATGGGTAAGCCACTTAAGACTTGTCAATATACAGTAAGAGTAATAAAAAGGCTCAGACTCTGACTGGATAATGATACATCTGAGAATTTACTCCAGTAACTTCCAATATAAGAAAGGTCACATGCACAGAAACACGCAATGTAGTATTACACTGGTAAAATCCGGAAGCAAACAGAAGTCCAACAGGTTAATGCGACACTCTATCTCCTCAAAGGAACATTAAACTGCTGCTAAAATACTTAGGGAAAACTATGTAGCAACATGGAGAAATGATCAAAAGTAGGACACAAACATTTATGTGATTATGTTTATAATTAAGCAAAGGATGCTTATCAACAAAACCCAGAAGGGAATAAACAAAAGAAAATTGTGTGGTATGACAGGAGAGTGAATTTTGTTCTTGGTATGAGTCATTTTTGCCCTAACAAATTATCACAAACTTACTACCTGAAACCACACCCACTTATTGTCGCACACTTCTGTACGTTCCGAAGTCCGTGAGGTCCACCAGGCTGGACCGGGGTGCTGGCAGGGGTTGCACTCCCTGCTGGAGGCTCTGGGGAACAATGGCCCTCAAGTTCCCTCAGCTGGTTCGGCGGGTGTGGGACTGAGGGCTCCACGTGCTTGCTCACTCCTGGAAGCCACTCCTGCCGCTGGCCCCGTACCGCCTTCTTTAAAGGGCCCATGTGGTTGTACTGGGCAACACCTAGCACCCCCCCACCCCTGTACATGAAACACCTGCAGATAATCTCCCTATCTTGACGTCAGCTGATTAGTAACCTTAATTTCATCTTCAAAGTCCACAGTGCCTAGTGTCTGAACAACCACTAAAACCAATAAAACTTTCGCCACATCAACAATATGATGGTTTTGCTTTCTTAACATTCGTGTGTTCACTGGAGTATCACTTTTTTTTTTTAAGGTTTATTTTTATTTAAGTAATCTCTACACCCAACATGGGGCTCAAACTCACAACCCTGAGATCAAGAGTTGCATGCTTTTCCAACTGAGCCAGCCAGGCACCCCTGGAGTAGCATCTTTAATTTCCTTCAAGAACTTTTACTTTGCATACACAACGTGGCCAACTGGCATAAGAGGCCTAGCTTTCAGCCTATTTAGGCTTTTGACATGCTTTCTTCACCAAGCTTAATCATTTCCAGCTTATGATGTAGAGCGAGAGATGTGCGACTCTTCCTTTCACTTTAACACGCAGAGGTCACTGTGGGGTTACTAACTGGCCTAATTTCAGTACTGCTGTGTCTCAGGAATTAAGGAGCCCCAAGGAGAGGGATGAAGGGGAACCACTGCTCAGTGGAGCAGTCACAACCCACACGTTTATCAATTAAGTGCACCATCCTATATGGGCACAGTTTGTCGTGCCCCGAAACAATCAGAATAATAACATCAAAGATCACAGATCACCATAGTAAATATAATGAAAAAGTATGAATTATTGCGAAAATTACCAAAATGTAAAACAGAGACCTGAAGTGAGCAAATGCTGTTAGAAAAATGGCACCAATAGACTTGCACGACACAGAATTGCCACAAACCTTCCATCTGTAAAAAATGCTCTATCTGCAAGGCATTATTAAAGTGAAGTGCAATTAGGGTGCCTGGGTGGCTCAGTTGGTTAAGCGACTGCCTTCGGCTCAGGTCATGATCCTGGAGTCCCGGGATCGAGTCCCGCATCGGGCTCCCTGCTCGGCAGGGAGTCTGCTTCTCCCTCTGGCTCTCCCCGCTCTTATGTGCTCTCTCTCATTCTCTCTGTCTCAAATAAATAAATAAAATCTTAAAAAAAAAAAAAAGTGAAGTGCAATTAAATGAGGAACACCTGTTAGTCAGGGTTTGAAAAAATCTAAATGAAATATCATTTCCTTACAGGTAAATGACTAAACAGTATTTCTATTTGTTCATTTCTATGTTTTTAGCTTATTTACATCAATAACTTTTCTGAAAATTTCAGCATCAAAAATACTGATGTTCAAAAACATCACCAAAGGTTAGGAGACTGTGGCATGGCCAAGTGGAGTCAAACCCAAGATCCTATTCTTACTAGCTCTGTGTTCTACAGGCAAATAACACCCTCTCTGAGCTAGTTCCCTCCATTTCTGAACAAGGAACAGTAATGTACAGCAAGCAGTATTTTGCAGGGTTCTTGTAAGGTTTAAAGGACACGGGCAGGGGTGCCTGGGTGGCTCAGTCGTTAAGCGTCTGCCTTCGGCTCAGGTCATGATCCCAGGGTCCTGGGATCGAGCCCCACACTGGGCTCCCTGCTCCGTGGGAAGCCTGCTTCTCCCTCTCCCGCTCCCTCTGCTTGTGTTCCCCTCTCTCGCTATGTCTCTGTCAATTAAATAAATAAAATCTTTAAAAAAATAAAATAAAATAAAATAAAGGACATGGGCAGATTATGCTCAGCACAGTGACCAAGGCACAGTCAACAGTAACCAGTTCCAACAGATTCATTAGCTTTTTACAAAAGTGAAATAGGAGGAAAGTAACAGCTTCTGTGTAATTATCAAGAAGTTTGGTTTTTTTAAAAAAAGATTTCATTCATTCATTCATTCATTCATTTATTTATTAAGAGAGAGTGCACGCGAACACTGAGGAGAAACAGAGGGAGAGGCAGAGGGAGAAGCACGCTCTCTGCTGAGCAGGGAGCGGAGTACAGAGTCGGCGTGGGGCTCACATGACCTGAGCCGAAGGCAGTCGCTCAACCAACTGAGCCACCCAGGCGCCCCTCTTCTTTTTTTTTAAAGATTGTATTTATTGGGGCGCCTGGGTGGCTCAGTTGTTAAGCATCCGCCTTCAGCTCAGGTCGTGATCCCGGGGTCCTGGGATCGAGCCCTGTGTCGGGCTCCCTGCTCGGCGGGAAGCCTGCTTCTCCCTCTCCCACTCCCCCTGCTTGTGTTCCCTCTCTCACTGTGTCTCTGTCAAATAAATAAATCTTAAAAAAAAAAAAAAAATCAAAACGCCTTCTCTTCCCCCTTTTCAAGTGTATACTGTCACTAAAAAAAAATTCATTAGGCAATCCTTTCTGATTCTTGTCAATATTTGTCTGCTATTGTGCGTTCCTTCATAATTTTAGTTAGCTTCCCTATTCATGATAATTATTAAGTATAAATGCACAATTCATTCCAAATTTACAACGGGATGCATACTCCTGATAGCCTAAGCTTCCTTGGAGGTTGCTGGATGGCGCCATCTAGTGTTCCTATTCAGTAGCAGCAAAATAAACCGGAAGGGTGGGTCTGGGTCCCAACAGGATCTATTGCATAGTCTGAAAAAAATATACAGGCTTCTTGGGTCCTATCTCAGGCCCACATCAAAACCTTCAGAGTAGGGCCTGGACAATCATACATAAAAATAAAAACAATCCCTGTTGGACAGACAAGTCAGAATCGAGAGCCACTGATATGGTGAATATATCCTCTACTAGCAGAGGCACAGAGTCAAACTAGTTTATCTTGTTACGGGGAAGTCGTTCAAATAGCAATATATCATATGCATCTAGGTACACCTCCTTGTTTCAGACTGTCAAGAGACCTAGACAAGGTAAACAAAACATCCTAGAGCCTACAAAATGGGTTTGTATACTTATTTTCTAAATTTCACAGATTGGTTTCAGAGTCAGACCTAGGCCAACTAAGGAAAAGGCAGGTGGGAGACTTCTTTTCATAGATGGAGACTTAATAGTTTCATGCAACAAAACAGTAAATGGAGAATTGAGAATTGCAGTTGGACTGTGACAAGATCTGTGGTGTGGCCTACCAGACACACGGTGAGGGACAGTTGGGCACATAATCACTGCGGGGCTATCTCTGCAAAAATTCTTGATCTATAATTCTTCCAAAACAGACATGCTATAATTTTTGAAATGTGCAACATGCTCAGTTTAGGCACATGCAACTATACTTACACTTGTAGGCATGTTATTTTAAAAAGGCAGCAATGGGACTTAAAAATCTACTTTAAAAAAATCTCACAGGAGGGGCGCCTGGGTGGCTCAGTCGTTAAGCGTCTGCCTTCAGCTCAGGTCATGATCAAGCCCCACATCGGGCTCCCTGCTCCGCAGGAAGCCTGCTTCTCCCTCTCCCACTCCCCCTGCTTGTGTTCCCTCTCTCGCTGTCTCTCTCTCTGTCAAATAAATAAATAAAATCTTAAAAAAAAAAAAAACAAAACTCACAGGAAAACACACATGATGAACAGAGCACCTATTGTACGGAATCAGTACTGGAAATCTCCAGGAATGGGAATCTCAAAGGACTAGAAAACAGAAAACTGTACTCTAATTTTGCCTCTAGCATTAATGAGCTATATTATCGTGGACAAATTATTTGTCTCTTTGGATCTTAATATCCTCACGTGTACAATGACGGACTATAATATTCCTTGCTCTGTTCTAGCTCCAAAATTCTCTGGCTGTATCCTTGATGAGATAAGGGAACACACAACTCCCAGCCCGATCCCCTGTGTTTCCTGAACACTTCCGGAGGTTGGCAGGAAGGGCCCCAACCCTCCAATGGTCTGACCACACACTTATAGTAAGATACCACTGGGGTCTTTACAACCCTGGGGTCAAGTGAAAAGCCAGGGTTAACTCTGATTAAATATTCATGATGTACTTAAGTGTCACACATGACAGTCTCCACCAGGGACCTATATATTTCACCAGTAAAGCAGCACTGGGGCCTGGGAGTCAGAAGCCTGGGATTTCAGTCTGACTCTATCACTTAATAGCTATGCGTGGCCTCAGGCAGGTCTTTTTTTTTTTTTTTTTAAACAAGCTGTGCCCAGTTTTATTAAAGAAAAATTTTGCGTGATTTACTTTTCACCAGTCTGTTCTGGCATGCTTCGAGTGATATCAGAATCACCTGGATCAGTGATAGCCAGTGTGCATACTCTGTAGTATTTCCCACACGCTGTGCCCAATTCAGTATTATTGCCACTATAGGGATGGGCACCAGTTTTGGCCAACATGGCACAATATTCTATTTCAGATTTCCTCAAGGCTGGGCAGTTGTTGGCGAGGATGACCAGTTTTGCTCTGCCATGTCTGATCATTTTCAGAGTCTGCTTGTACCCCAGCACGTACTTTCCACTTTTCATAACAAGCTGGAGCCTGGAGCTGATCGACTCCAGCGACTTTTTCGTCTTCTTTGCGGCCACCATCTTCCTGCCTTAGATGCGGGACGGCCCCAACCAAAGCCAGCCGCCAAAATGCTCAGGCAGGTCTCTTAATCACTGTCTCTCATTTTCCTCTTCTGGAGAAGGCAGATTAGGGGAAGAACAAATTTGACAATGTATTTGACAGTGCCTTAAAAATCATAAAATTTTAATTAACGTACAGCATTATTTCTGCATTAGCAAAATATCAATATTTGTGTATAATAACCCTGTAATATTAAATTTATTTTTTTATTTTTGTTGTGTTTTGAGGAGAGGTTCAAGGTTTTTCTAACTTCAATATTTAAATATGGAAACCTACTGTGAATACACAAACAATGCAGGTATAAAGATTAAAATTAAAGTACTACCTTATCCTGCCATCCCCCCAAGTCTGTTCCCAACCCCCCTCCCACAAAGATTTTCTTTCAGAATTTTCACTGTATGTTGATAGCCAAAGATTGTTGAAACATCTCTGCAGATGTTGGTATTTATAATTTAACCATATATGAACATTTTCATGTTGGTATATACATAGATCTACCTCGATCACTTTAATACTGCATAGTATTCTTGGTGGACCATAGTTTAGTTAACTGTTTCACTCCCTTTCTACTTGGTCAGTGTAACGAACAATGCCAAAACATGTTCTACACAGATTTTTGTGCACACGTTATTAGTTTCCTGAGGTATCAAATTCTTACAAATCCGGAGGATTTCAACAATGGAAATTTATTCGCTTGGAGTTCTGGAAACCAGAAGTCCAAAATCAAGGTGTTGGCAGGACCGGTTCCTTCCGGAGGTTCTGAGGGAGAAACCGTCTCATGCTTTTCTCTCAACTTCTGGTGGCTCTGGACAATCCTGGCATTCCTCTGTGTAGTAAGCATCACTCTAACCTCCACCTCTGCCCTCACAGGGCCTTCCCCTCAGGGTCTGGAATCTCCCTCTTCCCTTCTCCTAGAAGGACACCAGTCACTGATCTGGAGATGCTTACCTTAATTACATCCGCAAAGGCCCTTCTTCCAACTAAGGTCATATTCTGAGGTTCTGAGCGGACCTATCTTTTTGGGGCCATTATTCAACCCACTACAACACACACGAGAATATGTCAGATGCGATAAAAGATTATACTCAAAAATGACTCTCAAAAGGTTACAATGATTTTCACTTTCACCAAAATGATATTAGGGTGCTCTTTCAGGACACCTGGGTGGCTCAGTCAGTTAAGCGTCTGCCTTCGGCTCAGGTCATGATCCCAGATCCTGGGATCGAGTCCTTGCTCAGGGGGGAGCCTGATTCTCCCTCGGCCTCTGCCTGCCGCTCCTCCTGCTTGTGCTCTCTAACAAATAAATAAGTAAAATCTTTAAAAAAAAAAAAAAAAAAATAAGGTGCTCTTTCCCCTGTATCCTTGCCAACTTTCCAAACTTCCGGCTAAATTGATGAGTTAGATAAAAAAATAATGCACCATTGTTTCTACTGTATCTCCCTGACTTTTCTCGTAAGGTTAATCCTCTTTCATGTAGTTATTGACTTCTTTTGAGATCCTCCTATTCTTAAATTTTGTCATTTTCTAAACAGTGATGTGTTATTTTCCTCTCAATCTTTAAGAATTCTTCACAGTCTGGATATTAATATTTTATTACATATATCACCACAATTTCCAAGCCTGTTACTTATTCAACCTTACCTCTTACTAAACAACATTTAAAAGTGTTTATTTAATCAAACTTACCAAGTTTTTCTTTTATGGTCCTGGGTTTTTAATATTTATAGATTTTTAAATTCCCTAAGATTTTTTTAAGATTTTATTTTTTATTTTTCCTTTTTTTCCATTTTATTGTTATGTTAATCACCATACATTATTACATCATTAGGTTTAGATGTAGTATTCCATGATTCATTGTTTGTGCATAACACCCAGTGCTCCATGCAGAACGTGCCCTCTTTAATACCCATCACCAGGCTAACCCATCCTCCCACCCCCCTCCCCTCTAGAACCCTCAGTTTGTTTTTCAGAGTCCATCGTCTCTCATGGTTCATCCCCCCCTCCGATTTCCCCTAAATTCCCTAAGATTTTATGTGATATCACAAAGTAGGACAAATACAGACCTATGAGTTACAGAAAGCACCTTCTACTCAGTCTGCAAATGCCTTATGAATGAGGAAATATTTGAGGAGTCAGAGGATGCTTAAATTAGGTGTCCTGAGATGAAATTTCCAACAAGCAATTCTTAGAACACGAGCCATTCATTCAACTCAACTGAATACAACTCAATGTCATCAACTCAATTCTGACACTATGCACAGATAGCCATCGGATTGCACAGGCTGAGGGCTCAGTCCGTCAGGACTCCAAACCATCCCCCCACCCCCAACTTCAGGCACCAGATGCAAGCCCCATTAGCTGTGCTGCGCCTGACCGACTGGCGATGGACTGTAGGTTCTCATGAGGCCCTCTCCTTGGGTACAATTAATTTCCCATAGCAGCTCACAGAACTCAGAGAAACCTATTACTTGACAATAAAAGAATGTAACTCAGAAACAGCCAGATGGAAGAGATGCTTAGGGCAAGGTATGGGGAAGGGGCAGGGAGCTTCCATTCTCTCCAGGAGCCCCGCTCTCCCGGCACCTCCACATGTTTGCCAACCAGGAAGCGCTCTGAACCCTGTCCTTCTGGGTTTTTATGTAGGTTCCACGACATAGGCAAGAATGATTAAGTCACTGGCCACTGGCAATTGCTTCAACCTCTGGCCCCTCTCCACGCCCCAGAGGTCAGGGGGTGGGACTGAAAGTTCCAACCATCTAATCGCTGGCTGGCTCCAAGGACCAACAGCCCTCAACCTTAGGTGCTTTCCAAAAGTTACCTCATTAACCTAACAAAAGATACCTTTTAACACTCTCAATGCTTAGGAAATGCCAAGGGTTTTGGGAGCTGTGAGCCAGGAACTGTGATTGAAGACCAAATATACATTTTCTTATAAATCACAATATCATGATGCTGTAGACCAAATGTGAAAATAAAGAGAAGAGCAACAGTTAAGTTGGAAGAGGTATGGATGATTTAATAGTCCAACAACTCCTGAGACACAACAAAGCTTTAGGCACTGAAAGAAAAATCTAAGATGGACACATTCTCTCCCCCGCTAGAAGTTTACAATTCAGATGCAAGCAAAAATATTTTAAGTAACAGTTAAGCAGTGACAAATGGAAAAAAAAAAGCAATGGGCTTCAAATCAATGAAATCCATGGAGTTCACAGTACAATGCGGAAGAGAATCCTGATGGGTCTCAAAAGAGATGGAGAGTACCAATATGAATTCAAAGAAAAATTTTAAAACTTCCATCAAACTATAATAAACATAAGAAAAGCATATTATCATAATGAAACAACTCAATGAACTTTGCAAAGTAAACTTATCCATATAACCAGTGGTCGGCTCAAGAAAAGTACATGACAGGGGCGCCTGGGTGGCTCAGTTGGTTAAGCGACTGCCTTCGGCTCAGGTCATGATCCTGGAGTCCCGGGATCAAGTCCCGCATCGGGCTCCCGGCGCGGGGGGGGCGGGGGGGGGTCTGCTTCTCCCTCTGACCCTCCCCCCTCTCATGTACTCTCTCTCTCTCTCTCATTCTCGCTCTCTCAAATAAATAAATAAATCTTTAAAAAAAAAAGTACATGACAGCACCCTAGACGCCCCCCTCCTACTTCGCTCCTACCTTCTTTTCTTCATACTTCCTTCACTCCCCAAAAGTTCCCATTGGTTTGGTCTATTTTTATACTTTGTATAAAGAGAATAATACACTAGGTACTTCTTTCTCTCAAAACATGTTTGTGACATTCATCAAAATTTTTGTTTTATAGTTATAGACTGTCCTTTCCATTTTCCACTGTATAGTATTACATTGTGTGAATATTTTAATACATCATTCATCTATTACACCAATGATGGGTAGTTTTTATGGTTCCTACTTCTGGACTCCTGTGAAGAACACTGCTATGAACATTCTAGTACGTATCTTCTGGTGAACACGTTTTCACTTCTGTTGGGTATGAACTAGGAAGCAGAAGTGCTAGGTCATGGACTGCACGGATGTTCAGCTTTAGTAAGTACTGCCAGTTTTCCAACTCTTGGACAGTTTTCCTTCAGCTCCCCCTGAGAGTTCCAGTTGTGCTACATTCTCGCCAACAACTGTTATTTTCTACCTTCTCCATTTTAGCCATTCTAGTGAGTATGTAGCAAATGCAATTATTACGAATAATATGAAAGTTCAGATAACAGCAAATCTCTCACAACAAAGCAGTCTTTAGAGAGAATATGGATTTTTAAAAAAGATTATATAGGGGCGCCTGGGCTGCTCAGTCGTTAAGCATCTGCCTTCGGCTCAGGTCATGATCCCAGAGTCCTGGAATCGAGCTCCCAGGCGATCCCCGCATCGGGCTCCTTGCTCAGCAGGGAGCCTGCTTCTCCCTCTCCCCCTGCTTGTGTTCCCACTCTCGCTGCCTCTCTCTGTGTCAAATAAATAAATAAAAAATCTTTTTAAAAAACTTAAAATAATAAAAAAGATTATTTGAGAGTGAGAGAACATGTGTGCAAGCGCGTGTGAACAGGAGGGGGGAGAGGCAGAGGGAGAGAATCTCCAGCACATTTCCCCATGGAGCGCAGAGCTGATCGCATGCTTCATGCGATCATGACCTGAGCCAAAACCAAGAGCTGGACGCCCAACCGACTGAGCGACCCAGATGCCCCAAGAATATGGGTTTTAATTAAACTAACTGCACAAAAAAAGTTCATGGACTTGTTTAGTCACACACCCAAGGGATAACAAAATGACATGTATAAAGTCCACATTTAAGAGCGTAAAAACAGGAGCCTATTATTTAGTGGCACTGCTTTTCCAATGGGAGAAGAATTAACCAGTTATTTTAACCATTCTGCAAGTTGCATTTAAAAAAGAATACATGTATTAATGGGTATCAAGCGGTTGTGAAAATCTTACAATAAAATGGTAGAGGAAAATAAACATATTTTAAGAGAAGACAATAGCACAGCTCAATCACAGAGGCCAGCAAAGAATCCTCAAGAGTGGGGAGAAATATGAAGACAGAAAGTAGAAAGCATAGTGAATACATGACAAATTACTGCTAACCAAAACCTGACTTCTCTCACTCAAATGTTATGATCCATATTTTTCTAGAGTAGCAATGGCTATTTTATTTCAGGGAAATGAGTATCAATAAATTCTTTCTAAAAATAATATAAAATATATTTTAGCAAAAAACATACAGAATAGCTTTCCTATGACTAACACTATAATTTCCTATGCGTACTATGTGAGATACATCCCTTTAAGAAACTACAGTGTATAATTTAATCAGGATATGTATTTTTAATAATCAATCAAAAATTAGAATCTATAATAATACTACATCTAATATTTAACTTTTATAGTTTAAGAAAAAATCCCACACCTACTTAAATTAGTAAAAAAAAAAAAATCTAGTAAAAAGGGGAAACAAATTACTTCCAGTTTGCAGGTGTCTAGAACTGTGACCTCACCTCAGCCACAAGCTCCAAGAGAATAAGCAGCATATCTTGTAATTATCACAGCCCTTCTCCACACGTTTAGCAGGGCATTCAATAAATCCTACTCACCAACATGCTAGAATCTCTACTGACCAGAATATCACATACGCTGCTTCATGCAGCTGGTGAAAAGTGAGTAGATATTTATGTGCAACAGACCTAGTTCAAAATGCTTAATCATTTTTTTTTTTTTTTAAGATTTTACTTATTTGACAGAGAGAGACACAGCGAGAGAGGGAACACAAAAAGGGGGAGTGGAAGAGTGAGAAGCAGGCTTCCCGCTGAGCAGGGAGCCCAATGTGGGGCTTGATCCCAGAACCCTGGGATCATGACCTGAGCTGAAGGCAGACGCTTAATTACTGAGCCACCCAGGTGCCCCAAAATGCTTAATCATTTTTAAACAAGAATTCAACAGGCAGATTTTAAAAATTATAAACACAAACACTATGAAATCCAAGAACAATAAACTAGAAAGACAAAATTACGTCCAAGAACATCTGCTAATAGATCAAACCTTTCTTTCTTTCTAAACAAAGCTTTAGCTTATTATTTCCCTAAAGTTCATCTAAGTGAGACATTTATAAATGTTTACTCCAACCAATAAAACACACGGTCATTTTATAAATATTGGCTCTTAGAAGCCAGGTAAGTGGTGACCATGATAAAAACTGTGTCATTTCCCAGGAGTTTATCTGCTTCTCTTTTCAAGGTTAGAATTTCTAACACCTACAAGTTAAATCAATGTTAGGTATGTTACACTTAACAGAGTGAACAATAAGGTGTATAAAGCTTGTGTGCATTTAGTTGATCAGGTAACATATAAATTTTGAAAACTAATTAAAAAAAAAGAAAAATAACTGACCAAAATTTATAAAGTTTATAAGCATGAAAAGGACTGAAGTGCTAGTAAGAGTTCTAAGAAACCATCAGAGAAAGGCTAATGAAACCCGAGAAGGAAAACCGACAGGAGACTGAAATGAAATTTTTTGATGACAAAGAGTTCACTGAAAAGACAAAAAGAACGGCTGGGAATGAAAAATACAGCAAATGCTACAAAACTAATTCAACAAAAATACCAAGTACAAATAACTGACAAGTAGTCATCCACACGGAAGTGCAGAACATAACATGTGGCTACAACTGCAAATCTCGAATCCCAGACAACTGCATAGTGGTTCTCTCAAGAGATTAACAATTAGATTTTTTAATTTTTTATTTATTTCTTTTCTTTTTTTTTTTTTTTAAGTAATCTCTACCCTCAACGTGGGGCTCGAACTCACGACCCTGAGATCAAGAGTTCCACGCTCCATTGACTGAGCCAGCCAGGTGCCCCAATGATTAGACTTTTCAAGTGTCATATTTGAAAGGGATGGGAGTGTAGCATTGCAAGGAAAACATGGATGAATAAAATATGGTAATAGTTTATGAATTAATACTGAGATTTGCTAGTCTGACACATGTTATGCCAAGTACAACTAACTAGCCACACTAAAAATAAAATGCTAAAAACTCACTCACTGTCTTCTGTGGGAAGGACCTGCAGGGAGTAAATCCACTCTATTATATCATCTTTGTTCACCACATCTAAGGAATCCAACATATCCAGCCCGGAGAGCGCAAAAAATGCAATTGTCAGCCTAAAAGAAAAAAAAAAAAAGTAAAATTCCATCTCAACTGTCAAAACACTGAAGTCTTTCTGGTTCAAAAAATAATAAAGTCTTTCTAATTTTAAACTTAATTCCAACAGTAATCTCATTTTACAAAAGCCAAAAAGTCCTGTTTATACTTAGAGTTTATATTGATCAAACCTTTGTTTCATTTGTAAAAAGGAACATTTAGGGGTTAAAAAACCAGTCCTACTCATCTGATACATGCGTGGATTCACTAAAGCAACCTGAAGGCTAAAGCAGATTTAAAAAAGAACTGCCTGCACCTAATTAGTACAAGCAAATTCAAAAGGCTGAAAATATATAAAATCCCTATTTCCACTTATTTGCCAAGAGCAACTATACTTACAGTTTGTGCATAATTCTTAAGGAACGTTAGAATAAGTCCATCTGTATTCAAATTTGTTTACAAATAATGTAACCGGAAAAAACTTAAAATGAATTTTGGGAAATAATACTTTAAAAAATACATATGCATTTCAATTCCATTTTCCCAGAGAGGATTCTTCGATGGAATGAAAAACTGTAAGGCAACACACTCCCCTCCAAGACTATACACTAAATGAGAAATGTAAACTTTGTTTTCATATAAAAACTAGTACTTTAGTGATTACTTTTTACATAAAGAATTTGTTATATATAATTCTTTTCAGGTTGAGATGCATTCCATACTGCTGTCTGAGCATGGTTATCTCATTTCTGTATTCTAACAATTCCTATAACTAATATAACAAACTAATATTTTAAATCATCTGGTCTAAAATCTGACAGCAAAGCCACTGGACACACATTCTGTAACCTTTTCAACTAAGATTCCAAAAGAGAAATAAACCTTAACGCTCTAAAGCATCCACTGTGTGTAATAAATTAACTTCTTTCCCATGCCATCTAGAAAAATACTACCAACTTGAGGAAAAACGAGAAAAGTCACTTTTTTCTTTTTTAAGGGTATAATTCTCCTTGATTCCTGGTTGAAAAAGACTGGCATACATTAGATAACAGAAGGAGAAATCAAAGAGTAATTCTAACCAAAGCTTAAGGCAAAAACTAAAAATAATGCAATACTGGTACACTTAAGAAAAACAGATTTTGGGAAACTTACATTACTGAGAGACTATTACTATGTACTAGACACTGAGCTAGAAAATTTCTTATATACTATCTCAGTTTAATTCTAACAAACCACTGAGATCCACCAGAATTAGGGAGGTGATTTATCTGAGCACGATCAGGACTAAATTAAGGGCAGTGGAACCCCTTTATGTGGGAGGCTACAGTTCAGAGTTCAGACTTTGCCGTCAAATGAGCTAGGTTCAAATCCTAGGCTGGCTGATTTACAGCCATCTATAACCTGGGCAGGCCCTTTTCTAAATCTTTTCTAAGTCCACTTCCTTATCTATAAATTATTACACCTCACATTACTGCCCTCCCTGCCCACAAGCAAGCACTCAACAAACAGAAGCTATCATTACTGGTCATCTCCCTGATTTGACAGGAGTCAACGACCACCTCAGGATCTACACATGCTGTCACACTACAGGCCTTTTCTCAGGTCACTGGTTAGCAACCTTCTCCACCCCCCCCCCCCCCCCCGCCCCGGACAACCCTGCTCTTTCCCAAAACAAAACGATACTTTAGAAATGGGAAGACCTTCTATCTAACAGCAGACATGTTTGAGAATCACTGCTCTTCACGACAATTATGTCTCAGGAGATAAGTCTGCCTTGTGGTGATACATACTCAAATATTTATTGAAGTCACCAACAGATAAAAGGCCTGCAATACTTCATCTAACCCCCCTGGAGAGCTCTCACGAGGGTTTTTGGTTTTGCTATAAATGGTTATAGTCAGATATAATTTATTAAAATTATCTAGTAATTTAGTTTATTAAAGCGTTATTATAGAAAAAAACAAAAGGAAGACAGACAAAAGTGGAGGACAACATGAGGTTGTCGATAAGACAACCTACAGAGGCTGGATAAATCAAAGATCTTCCTGTCAATAAAAAACATACATGATTAGAAAACATTGAAAGGGCTATAAAGATAAGCTGGTATTCTTTTCTAAGTTAAGTACTCTCTTTTTTTTTTTTTTTTTTAAAGATTTTATTTATTTATTCATGAGAGTCAGAGAGAGAGAGAGGCAGAGGGAGAAGCAGGCTCCCAAGGAGCAGGGAGCCCGACGCGGGACTCGATCCCAGGACGCTGGGATCATGACCTGAGCCGAAGGCAGACGCTTAACCATCTGAGCCACCCAGGCGCCCAGTTAAGTACTCTCTTAAATTTTTTTTAGCTCAAGACCATGAAGTCCAAAGAACTCAAGTAATTTGCTTGAGATTTCAATGCTAGATAACCAATGAAAACTACTTAGGAACTGGGAGTTGCAGGGCGGTGTTCTCCACAGGGATGTTTCTCAAACCTGGCTACATTGTTAGAATCAGCTTAAAAACAAACACTTAAAACACCACCAATAAAACACAGAGAGGCCCAGGCCTTACTCTATGATAATGAAATGGAAATTCTAGGTGGAAGGTGGGGTCTGCATAACTGGTATTGGGGGGGGGGGTGCAGTGTGGGAAGCTTCCCAGGTGAGGATAATGTGCAGCCAGGCTTTAGAAGCACTGCTCTAGGGGAGGCTGGATGGTTCAGTCATTTAAGCATATGACTCTTGATCTCAGCTCAGGTCTTGATCTCAATGAGTTCAAGCCCTATGTTGGGCTCCATGCTGGGCATGGAGCCTGTTTTTAAAAAAGAGTGGGGGGGGGGGGCGCCTGGGTGGCTCAGATGGTTAAGCATCTGCCTTCAGCTCAGGTCATGATCCCAGGGTCCTGGGATCAAGTCCCACATCGGGATCCCTGCTCAGTGCAGAGCCTGCTTCTCCCTCTCCCTCTGTCATTCCCTCTGCTTGTGCTCTCTGGCTCTATCTCTCTGTCAAATAAATAAATAAAATCTTTAAAAATAAAAAAAAGTGCACCGCTTTAGAGCAGTGATGCCCCAGGGGACATTCTAAAGACATTTTTGGTTGTCATAGAGGAGGGTGCCAGTGGCAGCTAGCTGGTAAACGCCAAGGATGCCGCTAAATGTCCCACCTACAACACATAGGACTGCGCCATTCAACAGAATGTCAACAGTGCTAAGGTTAAGTAACCCTGCTCCAAAGTCATACTGTTACCTACATATAAGTGTTATATGAATGATCTGTTTTTCATTTTATTTGCTTCTGAATATGGATGCAAATACCAGAAATCAAGTCAGTTGCTGGTAAACTACTTTAAAATCTTGCCTACTTAATTATTAAAGGCTTCTGAGAGTCCGGTATTTTCAACTCCTAGCAGGTGAGACCAAGGTTTTAGGATTAACACAGCTCTAGTGAAAAGCTTATGCTTATGAAGTGAGGCGCCCAGCAGCGGCTAGCAGACAGAACCAAGAAGTCAATTTGGAGCAAATGTCTGGCCTCTCCTCTAAGGCTGGGAAAATACTCCTTTCTTAGCACACCAGAGTTCTTAAGCAGTCCTAAAACTCTGAGAGGGAGAGAATTAAATAAGTCATAAGAAAAAAAAAAAAAAGCAGTTTTGGGCTGTGGGCCTCTGAGGGAAATAATGGAGGGTTTTACGGTGCCCCAGTGAGGGCTACTTGGGGTATGGACTGCTGGCTACCCACCTGGGGGCAGGTGTCTAGAGGGGAAGTCACGCGAACACACAAGCCTAAAATCAGGCTGGTGAAGGTATTTCGACTTTGTTGCTTTGGAGAGCATTTGTTTGTTCTCTTCCTTTCTTCTCTTCCCTAGAATTGAACTCTGAAACTATAACCTGAAAAAGCAAAGCCAGCCAGCCACATCTTCCTGCCCCTTCTTCCACTCTGAACAACACATATGAAAGTGTATCTTACATGGATGAAGTAGTAAAGTTCGTCTCCTCTAAATCAAGTTGCTGCCCCATTGGATCAATTCACAGATGGAAGGCATCAACTAAATGATGTCTCCAGAAGATCTCCAATTTTTCAGGCTTAAGAATAACATTTTCAGGCTTAAAAAACAGCACCCCCCAAAAAACCCCCAAGGATTAAATAGGGGGGAAAAAAAAAGGAAAACCAGTCTGGGCAGTGGAAAAAAGAATTGAGCAATAGTAATAACTTTCCTGTGCTAATAAAGGAGTAGTGTACCGTTAGGCTAGAGCAGGTAAGTGACCATTTGCGAGTATACTGGAAACACTGATACATGGGCACTGACTAGACTCCCAAACTTTGGATCACCTGCTCTGCCCCTTTCCGCCAGTACAGTCTCTTTACCGGCATCTCCAAGTGTCTTTAACAGGTAACTGCATTCCTGCCTAGATCTCAGGTGGGGCAATAACTAAATCATACTGCAAAAAGTTCTAAAATTATGAACAAGCATTTACAAACAGGAAATATTTAGAAATAGGAACACAGTTCTTCAATAAAATTGGTAACAGTGGAAATGATGAGAGAGCCTTAGAGGACAGATGGAAATTAATCATGAAGTTAAAATACACAGCACACAGCGGCCCCAAAAACACTCTGGAATTAATGACTGAAACGATGCAGGAATGCTAGAATTTTAAGCCTTACTCTTTTTTTTTTTTAAAGATTTTATTTATTTATTTGACAGAGAGAGACACAGCGAGAGAAGGAACACAAGCAGGGGGAGTGGGAGAGGGAGAAGCAGGCTTCCCGCGGAGCAGGGAGCCCGACATGGGGCTCGATCCCAGGACCCTGGGATCATGACCTGGGCCGAAGGCAGACGCTTAACAACTGAGCCACCCAGGCGCCCTAAGCCTTACTCTTATCTTTAATATTTTTCAGTAGCTGGCTTGATGGTAAGTATTTTTAAGTACAGTCACACATCTTTGGAATTACTTTACATGCAAAATAATTTTTCAATAAGAAATGTTTACTAAACATCTACTACAGACTAGATGTCATGACAAAAGCAAGTAAAACAAGCCTCCTAATCTTAAGCAGGTTAAATTATGGGAAAAAATAAGTAGCTATATAATAAGTACTATTACAGAAATCATCTTCAGGGCACCTGGGTGGCTCAGTTGGTTAAGTGTCAGGGTCGTGAGATCCAGCCCTGCCTCGCCTGGTGCTGGGCGTGGAGCTTGCTTAAGATTCTCTCTCTCCTTTCTCCCCTCCACCTTTCCACCTTCCCTCCCCAACCCACTAGTGCTCTTGCTGTCAAAAAAAAAAAAAGAAAGAAATCATCTTCCTTTCTAAACCTACTCCTTTAGCCCCTTGTTCTCTAGACCAGATGTCAGTTCCAATCCTAGAATCCTGGAACTCCTCCTTTTTCCTATACCCCTTCATCCTATCCATTCTGCCCCAGCATCTGGCTCCCTAACTGGTCTACAACAGCTCCCTAACTGGTCTTCCTGGTTCTGGTCTGGTCCAACTTACTACTACAACAAGCAATCTCAAATTCAACGATCACTCTGAAATGCGTATCTAACCAGGAAGATCCACTGCTTGGCAACGTTCCATCACTTATGTGATATCAAATTCAAGTTTCTTGACCTGGCACACAAAGCCTTCTGTAATCTGGCCCATGTCTGCCCGCCAGACTAAATTCCTACCACACCTGCCTTACATTTTGAACCACTGTTAAACAAATGATTGCAGTGTCTCTGCTCAACATTCACTTATCTACCTTTATTGTCTTTTCCATTTGCCTATAATCCATCCCCCATCCCCCCAAACTAAACACATTCTTTAGTATTTAGCTCCAAGGTTACTTCTTCCAAGAAGCCATCTCTGAGACCTGTCTCTCTTCAGGTTGAGCTAAGGTGCTCCCATAATATTCTGTGAATCCACAATCATTGTGCAAACAAATTCAAGTGTGGTCAGGGGATCAGCAACATCAGCATCACCTGGGAACCTGTTAGACCTGCAGGGCCTTAGACCCCTCCCAGACCTATGCAATCAGAATCTGCATTTTAAGATGATCCCCAGGTAATTTATATGCATAGTAGAGTTGGGAGGCACTGTTTTAAGAATCTGTTTGTACATCTGTTTCTCCTATCAGGCAAACAGTCTCAAACGTTAGGGTGCATGAGTACTATATGGGATGCTTGTCACAATGCACACTGGCAGGCCCACAAAGAGTCTGATGCAGAACCGGGGAGGGGCTCAGGTACTTGCATTCTTTTTTTTTTTTTTTTTTTAAGATTTTATTTATTTATTTGAGAGAGAGAGAGAGAAGGATAGTGAGAGAGTACAAGCAGGGAGGAGAGGGAGAAGCAGGCTCCCTGCTAAGCAAGGAGTCTGACACTGGGCTTGATCCCAGGACCCTGGGATCATGACCTGAGTCAAAGGCAGACGCTTAACTGACGAGCCACCCAGGTGCCCCAGGTACTTGCATCTTATAAGCATGTGAGGATGTCACTGATTTAGAGCCTCCCGTCATCGCCATCATGCTTTGAGAAACACACTGCTGGACTGCAATATATTTCAGGTAAGGGAGGGAATGAAAGAGCAGAGTAGTTGCTAGACGGTAGTCAGCTGAGCAGTTACAACACAGGCTACACAGGGGAATATGGAAGGACTAGGAAAGACTAGGTAGATTGTGATGTCCTGTAAAACAAAAACCAAACATCTAAACCCTTCTTTGAGAGCAGCTGGATCTGTAAAAGTAACATAGAAAATGGTCAGTATTTTGTTCTCCGATTAAAAAAACCTATTTTAACTCCCATTACCCAAATACAAATGGCAATAACAACTTATGACCAAAAAACTCTCTAAACCACTCACAAAAAAGAAGCCTGTTAATGCACAAAGCTCACAACCCAAGGTTTAATATTCACATGAGGTAACTAATAACTACCACCTTTCAGAAGTTAATATGAAAAAAAGCCACAAGTGAAACAACACTTTATTTTCATAAAGCCATTGTTATTAGAAAAATAAAAATTATTCAGTCCTATTTGTCAAACTAAAAGCAAAAGGGAAATGAAAGTAATTTTGCCAAAACGGTGGGTCAAAAAATAAGTATCTAAATGTTTAGTCCGTTATCAGCCTTCCTGAGAGTCTCCTTTGTCACATCTATCAGTAAGAAGAAAGGCACACCAAAAATCACCGGTTTTGCACTGCATCCCTGTACCCAAACAGTAGGCACTCAACAAATGTCTATGGAATTAAATAGCAATACCAAGTTAAGAACTGTGACTTAGCAAACACACCGTTTTATCTGAAAACTCTTGGCATCAGTAGAAATTTTGTGATCAGTCGCCTTTGCTTAAAAGCTCAGAGCTCCTTCATAAGCATACAATTATAAATCACATACACCACAAAAGGACTTAACGCTAAACTAAGGAAAGCAAAGACTGACTCAGGAAAGAGAAAAACTGAAAAACTTGAAAAAATCACTACAAAAACTGCTATGTGCACATTAGTTTAAATGCGGTTATTAAGTGTGCCATAAGAAAACAAGAAATAAAAAATATTCTACTCAAGTGATAAGCATCAGGCATAAAAAGGACATAATATTTCTTAACTAATGCACCATGACATTATACATTATCATCTACTATATAATGCCTGGTGTAGATTCTAAGATTATACTGAAGTTATGAAATCAGTTGTTCAATCAGACAATTTTTGCAGTTTTACTTACGCTATGAGCACCATTACACAGTTTACCAACACGCATTAGTATATGTGGTTTTGTCCATGCTGGAATTTTAAATAGAACACACACCGGCACTTTGAAAATACAGCCACAGACCTAAAATGACAGCTACGAGCAAAGTTCAACTGTTTAACAAGCACAAGATGGAAGATTTTTTTTTATCTAAACGCTTCAAATTCACATAAAATTAATCCCCATAAAATGTGTGATCTATTAACATGCTTTGTTTCAGAGCATATTGTTCTACTCAGTGGGGTAAGTTTTGGAAACCTTAATTTAGGTCTAGGGATGTGCTCTGATGATCAATCAACACCTATGGATAGAGAAAGGACTATAAATAATGCTTCACTCTTCCTTTAGCAAGAATGTGTTCATTATTTAGGGCTCTGCTCACATTATTTAACAAATATTTACTTCGTGCCTCTTTATACGCCAGATACTTTTCAAGGTCCTAGTGCAGTACTGCCCAAAAGACTTTCTGGGATGATGGAAATGCTGAAATAGCAACAAAAGCTATGAAATGCAGTGGCGACTGCAAACAGAAGAACTGAATTTTTCATGTGATTTAATTTTAATTAATCCAAATTTAAACAGCCAAATGTGGCTAGCGACTACTACATCGGACAGGGCAGCTCCAGTATCATAGAGGTAAACTAGACAAAGATCTTTCGTGAAGTTTACAATCCCGCGTGAAAGAAAAATATTAAACAAATAAACCAATAAATATATCATCTCAGGTGGGACTGGAAGGGATGGATCTCTTTTGGGAAGGCCTCTCGAAAGAAGTCTGGGCTAGATATCTGCCCTTCCTACACGCTCCCATTAACCCCATGCTAACACACATTAACCCTATGCTGCATAGAACTCTATTGAAACCACTTGTCTTGTTCAGCTGTACTCCAGCTCCTCTCATACTAAATTTCTAGAGCACTAGGCAGAAGTAATCTATAAAACTTACAAATCTGACCCAGCCATGAAATGTTCAAAATACACCAGAGAATCAGAGTTCAAAAAACACGGAGAGATTAGAGCAAAACCAATCGGCTCTCTCCTTATCCAGTCCCACGCGGCGCTGGAGCCTCACTCAAAACACAGCACTGCAGAGCAAGGACCGCCTCCTTCCTCTCATCCCCAGACTTCTACTCTGAATGACTAATTCACAGTTTTTTAGCCGCAGCCAAATCACACTCGTCAGCCAACTCCAACTCACAAGGCTACAGCACATACACTTTTAACAGGCTGCTTCACGGAACACTGCACCTCTTCGCCAACCTTCTCCTACCCTTAGATTTACAATTCCTGGAAAGTTAATTTCTACTCAAACCTTACAGGCTCCGCGCCGCTCCTATACGTAACACCCCACACAGATATTCAATTCAGAGTTAATAACGTTTTGGAGGAAAGGGTAGCACAGGCGAGGCTATTTACCTACGATGACTGGTCTTTTTCCTTCTATACTCGGAAGTAACGAGGCCAAGGGATTCACAGCCTCGTAGTGGGAATAAAGAGGAAGCTCAGAGTTGACAGGAAAAATGGTTGGGAAGGCAGAAACTGGAGGTTCCACAAGCCCTCGACTTACTGCTGCCCCAATCCTCCCCCCATAGCTCGGGGGAGTGAGGGTGACTGCAGGCCCGCCCGAGAGGAGAGGAACCCGGCAGGGCCGGGCGGGCGGCGGCGCAGGCCCTGCAGGCGCCGGGTCAGCCGGCCGGCTCCGCGGTGCCTTTCCGCTGGGGCCGGGGCCCCGTGCCCACCCCCGTTGACCGTGACCACCAGTTACCTGCTGGTCTCGAGCGAAGAATAACGCTCGGGCAAGACCTGGAGGCAGCGCTGGAAGAACCGCACGTGCCGGTCTCGCAGGAAATCCAGCCGCTCTCCCTCGCCGCTCCCCGCCGGCCGCTCATCCTCCGTGGCCGCCATGCTGCTGCGGAAGCGACGTCCGCCGCGACCCGGAAGCAGTTGGCGCGCGGCGTGAAGGAGCCCCGAGGGGCGACGCGGGCGCGCGGCGATGGCGCGCGGGGATGGGCAGTGCGCCGGCCGCGCGCCCGTCGGTGGTTGAAGCTACTCGCTGTGAGCGGTCTTACGCAGCGCCTTATGCCTCGGATTTCTCTCTAGATCCCACCTTTTCTATTCTGAGCCCCGCAGGCTCGGACACCCCTCTCGAGCCTTGTAAAATGCAGCCCACAAATCCCTCCAGAACTTTTTATCCTCGTTAGATATTTGAGAGGCAGTGCAAGATCAAAAGCTTCCAGTTCGCTTTGAGGCAGTCACGGCCCGAAACGATGGTATATGTGAAAATGGATGCATCAGAATAAATCCTTTTTGGAAGGCCCCGGTTTTAAACTGAATGGATAGGGAGGCTAGACCTTCAAATCAAGCCGTGGAGATCAATGTTTATTAAGTAATTATTGACGCTTCCTAAGTTCAGAGGCGTTCCTAGTCCTCTCTAGGATACCAGCAATCACTTAAAATAGATATGTATATTGTATGTATACACAATATACATATATACACACAATACAGACTTATAACATTCGTATGTGTGACTGCATCATTTTCTTTGTCTTAAAAGATTGAATTCTCAATGCTTGAGTCTGTGTGTTCATCAATGTTGCATCGATTTGCCAAGCAAACAAGCTCAAATGTTCACCAACTACCCGTATATTAAAAAATGAAACAACATGCTTCTGGCTATTTTTTTTTTTTTTAAGAGGAACTTAATTTGCGTCACGAGGCAGTCTTTGGGGGAAAAATCCACCCAAAGATCAGGCTCAAACCTAAGTTCTCTATAGTCAGCTAGGCTAAGTTTGAGTATGATTTTGTTCGCTTTCTTAGAAAAATCTACTTAAAATACATACTGTGTGGGCTGGAGTTATCTTCTACCTATTCAGTAATCCAGAGCGCCTAATTTTAGGTACTAGTAACTACTTATTCACAGGTATTCCTGTATGTCTTTAACAAATACCGCATTACCAAAGGGCTGGGTGTGGGCGGAGGGCTGTTCTTGGGGCTTCCTTACAACAGGGAGGCCACACTCCTTGCTTTTCAGGTATGCCCCAGTCTAGAGTTTTGGTTCTGTTATTACAGTTAAGATCTTACTCTCACAAACATGCACCACCAAATGTCTGAGCATGTTCAAAGTGCAGTCATATCACACATATTTAATTTATTAGGATGAACAATGCAGTCTATATATGCTCAGAAAGACAATCCTATTCAACTGGGCCACTAAAGAGAACCCAAATATTTTCATCTGATTCTCAGCTCAGGAATCAGCAATCTGATCCAAATTCTATGATGGACTCACTGAGAAATAATGTAATATGCCTCCTAGGTAAGTAAAAGGGTTTTCATGGGTGACTTTGACCACAAAAGATTACTGACATATGCATGACAGAATCCAACCCCCATGTAAAAAGTATTGGAATGATAAAAATCTATATAATTGAATATTATTTAGCCATTAAACAATAATGTTTGAATTCTATAGAAACATAGGAAAGTATGTATAATGTGATTTAGTATAGTAAATAAAATGACTATAGCTATTTTAAAATATGTAGGCATATTTTTGGAAAAAGTTACCCTGGAGTAATGGAATTATGGGTGCTTTATTAACATTTTCCTTTTAGGGATTTTTTCTAAATTTCTTACTCATATCCTTTTTAAATCAGTATGAGAAATGTTTATTTCTTCTATGAGCCTATAACTGAAGATACTATTAATTATTGCTTATTCTATGCCTTATATAGAGGATCCATATAATAAATTCCTCATTTATTTTAGATTCAGTTAGAAGGACTGGTTTTGTCAAAGAAAACTCCATACTTTTATTAAGAAACAAACCAAAAAACAGACAAAAAGCCATAAAATCACACTACCCAGTATGCTTCCCTTAGATGCAGGAAATGGATAGCTGCCTTTCTGTGCAATAAAAAACAACATGTTCAAAATCTATTATGTAAGAAACCTTTTTTCTATCTTGTAGTAGTTCCATTCTGTGTTTAAAATCTGTTGTCCAATTCAATATTTTATTTCTTAAACTGCCTCCAATCATTTAAAAAAAAGTTATAGAGAACAAGGACTACAAATAAAACACGCATTCCTGATTAAGGATGTTTTATGTTATTTCTCTCATTTTGCACCAGTACTTGTGTAATCAGAATTCGGTTTACAAAATTTGGAAGCCATCTGCTTTGAAGATTAACTGTGAAATAAGTAAAGGTTACTATTAGAAGTAAATTTCTGAGTCATTTGGCCTAGATGTATCAAGTTATAAATTAAAGATATTCTAAGATAAAAGTTAAAAGAAACGAGTTTTCTATATTTATTACATATATGGTATCTTTCCTGTAAGATGGGAAATGATTAAAGTTAGGAACTAAGATTTTATAATATGAAAAGTTGAGTCAAATTAAGTTAAATTGTGTTTTCATGTACAAAAGTTTGGAAATTTTAAAGTTAACTCTTTTGACCAAATATTTTGAGTCAAACAGAAGCAGTAAAGAAAACTGCACCAGCTAGGAAGATGTGATAGACACAAAGGCTTTATAAATGTGTGACATCCAGAAAGGCTAAAGGGAAATTGGGAATAGCTAAAGGAAACCAAAAAGATATCGGTAATACAAATAATAGGATATATATGAGGTGAGGCATATTTTTAAAATAAATATTCTCTATATAAAACAAAGCATGCTTCCAACAAATACAAAATGTATTTATTACACAAAAATGTAACAACTGACAAACTACCAATTTGTTAAACTTAGAAAAGTACTAACTTACTTCCCCCAAAAAAGGAAAACCTTTACATTTTTGTTACTTGAGCTAATTCACCTCCAAGTTATAAATGTTAAAAAATTTTTGTTTAAAAAAAAAGTTAGTCTATGATTGTCCCAATTTATTTTGCTATGCCATGACAAAAACAAAATATCTTTGAAATGTTCTGAGTATTTAAATGAAATCATGTTTGTAACATACACTTATTCAAAAAACATTTACATCAATAATAGGCCGACATACACATTAAATACCCTCTGAGTATAAACACGAGCTACAACAATGCCGCATGAAACTCAGTACCTGTCGATTCACATATAACACAGTTCTCAATCTGACTGGGGCTAGTACTATTTAAAGAACATAGTTATTGACTCTCTCCTGGTATGAAAATGCTGACATTCTCATCAACTGAATACCAACTTCATTATCTCATATTCTTTTGTCAAGTCCTTGTCTCCAGGTTGGAATAGCCCTAGGGAGAAGAAGAAGGGCAATTATAAATACAAAGGGAATTAAAAAAAAATCCTAATTAAATTCTATGGTGGACTCACTGAGAGATAATATGCCTCCTATATAAGTAAAAGGCTTTTCATGGGTGACTTTGACCATGCAAGATTGTTGACATATGCATGTCAGAATCTAACCACCATGTAAAATGCCACTCTATGTCATTAGGTACGAAGTGTAAATAGCTCAAGTTTTCAATGTATAGGAATGATAGAACATCTATATAATTGAACACTATTTAGCAACTTTTACCAGCTTTTTACTGTAAAATCTAGCATGCATATAGAAATTGTATAAAATATAAATATGTAGTTATTAAGTTGTTATAAAGTGGACACCCACTCTAACTCCTTTTTACCTGTGTGGGATACGCAGAAGTGGCCCAGAGCCTGTGGGTCCCGTCTTCTTGGTCCGTTCCTCCCAACCTTTGGTAGGTCTGTAAAGCCTAGAGGGATCTCTACTAACATTGTTTTCAACCTGTAATCAGAATGAAAATGAGTGCCAGTTACTTTATATGAACTATTAAGTTTGGACTAGTGAGTGAGATCTTTAGTAACAACAGCAAGCAGTTATAAGAAACATCCTTGACATTCACTAAACAGAAAAAAAACTGTTAACCTTTTCAGCAAACTTCTGGTTGTGCTCTGAGAGCTAACCTAAAATCTGGACTCCATCAATCTATTAATAAACTGTTAATTTAGCTTCTTTTTTCTAGTTCAATTACTTTATTCTGCTTCCACTGTTTTTCTATTTTGTTTCTGTTCTGAGGGAAATGTAATGCCACCAAGTGTGATAGTGGGATAGCCAGACAATAAATTTAGGATAAATAACCACCAGAAGTCCTTCGTTCCTTCCGTTCCCATGAGAGTCACCAACATCTGTAGTCCGTGTACTCCCAGGGAGATTAAGCAATGCTCCTAGCTGCCATAGGTCTAAAACAGAGGCATATACAGAAAAAAAATGAAAAACAGAATGAAGAGTAGGAAGAGAAAATTAATTCAGGGTAAAAGAAAATAAGGTGCTTAGAATGTGAAATGGCAGAATTCCAACAACAGTTGCTTAAGTTGTACTAAACTGTGCTTTGTAATATGTAAATCCGTTAAGTATGAAATCTAGAGGAAGTGATACAGAAATAGAGCTCTGGATATAAAGAAAATGGATTTTATGCTTGTCTCCTTACAAATCAAGGAGTTAGGATAGTAACAATAAAAATAAATCTTAGCACACAGCACCTTTTGTTTTAATTTTGCCAGTTTCCTTTGTTTTTCTGCCTTTTCATCTTCCTTTAACTGTCGATCTAGAATTTTCAATTCAAGTTTATGTAAATCCTAAAAAAATACATCAACAAAAGAAGAGCAACATTAAGAAAATAAAATTCAGTGGAATTTGTTTCAAAGGTCGGTTGCTTGCAAGTAAAATGAACTTACCTACTATCAAGACTTCAATATTAACCTTTTCCAACAAAGGCTAAGAGCTGTATTTATCCTGAATATAAATGTAACACATGCACATCCTTTCTGAATCACTTTCTTTAGCTATCTCTTGTTTTATTTTATAGTTCAATCTAAAACTCCTTTTCTTTTATTAGTTGAGCTAAGCCTATTTTCACTTATTGATACAGGTATGTCTGGTTTTAGATCTCTCACATAT